GAGAACAGGCACCTGCCCTTCTTGATTGCAAACATCTGATTTTGGGCTCCAGCCAATGCCCGTGGGTCTTCTTTTGTCCCCGAGTGCCCTCTACTGGCAAGAGCAACAAAGTGCACTTGGCCCATGATGTCACCCAAGAGCTCAGATATACACATCTGTTTCTCCTCCAACCCCTTGTCTTAAATGAATCCCTCCTACACCCTCCCAGGAATTCCTGTTGGCGCATCCATCTGTCAGTCTTCCCCAGATGGTGTCTAGGTTCTGAGTGTCACTGTTAGAACTGTAAGGGAGCCCTGTGCATACTTCCTTTGGTCTCATCCCGGCTCCCAGGCAGTGTGTGGTAGTGAGTCCTCAGGTCTACATGAGACTGGACACTTCCCTCCTGGGATTCATCTGCTGTCATCTCTCCTTCCCCATTGCGCAGTGGAGCCCTGGCCTGTGAGGGAGGTGAATCCCGGGTGGGACTGTGTAACAGCCTTACCAGCCCCTGTTAAACCAGATCATCTGTCCCTGGAGCCCAGGCTTTTCCCGTAAGCTGGAACTCAGACGCCTCGAAAAGATGGGTGTGTCAGTATCCAATGCATAATATGTATTGGGTCCTTTCCTACCCTCTTCCATTCCTTGTCTGCCACACACACCTCTGCTCAGCTCCTGACATGGGTGATTGGCTAGTGAGCCTGGGAGGGAGAGGGTGGGGTATGTAAGGGACCAGCAGAGAGATACACAAAACAAAACAAAACCAAACATGGCCCAGCGAGCTTCCCCTCCACGTCTGGTTCCACAGCAACCGTGCTCAGCCTTTTCTTTCCTGGTAGATGAAAACCTTGAACTTGTCTTTCTTTCCTGGTTCTTGCCTTGGCTTCTTCGGGGTCATTTGTCCTCGGGCTGAACAATCTGGGCTGGGGGTAGGGCATGATTTGGGAGGTGGGTGTGGGCATGGGAGAAGTTGTGACGTTGCCAGTGAATATGATTAAAATATACTGTATGGAATTCTCAAAAGACCAAGATTTTTTTTTTCTTTTTCTGTTTTGATACAGACATGTGGGCCCAACTCAGAGTGTCCCCTGTGCTATCCAGAAACCATACTGACTTAACATGAGCATTTCTGTTCCCTCCAGGTTGCAGGTGCAGAGGGTTCCTGCTCCACACTTGAGAAGCTGAGCAAGCTCCCCTTGGCTTCCTCAGTCTGCTTTACTATTACGCTCTGATAATAAGCCCCTATTCCTACATCAGCATGGGGCTTGGTGCTTAATGTGAGGGGTGCTTAATGTGAGGCGGCACCCGGGGGGCATCAGGGCCCTTGCCATCCTTCCCATGGCGGCTCTCTGCGTGGTTTAAATGTGAGCTGTCCCCCATCCATCCGTCTGTGTTTGAACTCTTGGTCCCCAGGTTGTAGCTGTGTGGGGAGGTTGCAGAGGAGCCTTTTAGCACGTGAGGCCTTGCTGGAGGAAGTATGTCAACGGGGAGATGGGGACTGACCCTGTGGCTTGCTAGCCCAGCCTGACATGTGACCAAATGTCCCCCACAGTCCTGCCCCCCCCTGCTGTGATAGATGGATTGTATTCTCTTGAGGTGCAAGCTACAAGCTGACCCACCTTAAGCTGCTTCCTGTCTCTACTCACACACACACACACACACACACACACACACACACACACACACACACAGGCTGCCCCTCCCTAGCTGCTCCTTCTGCTCAAATAAGCCTCGGGCCACAGATCTCACCCGTAAAGACAATGTCCCTCCCTGGAGGGCTTTTGGGAACTGCTAGTGTGGAGCAGCCCTCACCCCAACCCTCCTGCTAGTGTGGAGCAGCCCTCACCCCAACCCTCCTGCTAGTGTGGAGCAGCCCTCACCCCAACCCTCCTGCTAGTGTGGAGCAGCCCTCACCCCAACCCTCCCCTAGGCTCCTTGTGCTCTGTGCATCCTTTCCTAAGCAGATCAGTCCTAAGAGAACAGAGATGTTCCTCACCAGCACCAAAGATGTTGCCTGTCTCAGCTAGGGCATCTATTGCTAGACTAAAACACCATGACCAATACCATGGGGAGGACAGGGTTTATGTGGCTCACTCGTCCACATCACTGTTCATCACCAAAGGAAGTCAGGACGGGAACTCAAGCAGGGCAGGATCCTGGGGGCAGGGGCTGATGCAGGGGCCATGGGGAGCTGCTTACTGGTTTGCTCCTCATGGTTTGCTCAGCCTGCCTTCTTGTAGAACCCAGGACCACCTGCCCAGAGATGGCACCACCTACAAATGGGTTGGGCCCTCCCCATTAACCACTAATTAAGAAAATGCCCTACAGGCTTGCCTACAGCCACATCTTATGGGGCCATTTTTCTTAATGAGGCTGGCTCCTCTCAGGTCAGCTTGTGTGAAACTGACATAAAACAGTCCAGCTCATTGCCCAACAGTAAGTGCTCAAAAACCGACCCCAGGACATCCGTTGTCCCTCCTCGCAGATTAAAAAGGTAAAGGCCTGCAAAGACAGCTAAGTGGTTTTCCTAAGGCCATCACTACCAAATGGTTGGACCTCGCACCCATGACGCTTGCCCCCCCCCCCGTCCCTGACTACCACTCATGACGTCACACCCCACAATGTCCCTGACACCCATGATGCTATGCCCCCAGACTCTAACACTCATGATGTCATTCCCTGTGTGTTCGCAATGTATATTCCACGGAGCAGCGTGCAGCCCTAAAAAGTGCATCAGGGTCTGGCTGGGAAAAGATGGAAGGGGGATAGTATGTAAAGGACATGCCTTTCACTTACTGTCCCCAAATAGAGAGACATCTGCAGCTCTCAAAGAGGCCAATCTCCTGAGTGAAAAGGTGGTGTCAAGGCAGCGTGAAGAACTCATACTGCTCTTGGAGAGGCCCTGAGTTTGGGTCCCAGCTCACAACCACCAGTCACTCCAGCTCCAGGGGATCCACTGCCCTCTTCTGGCCTCTAAGGGCAACTGCACTCTGCCTGTGCACAGACCCACACACAGGCTAAGTGAAAAGACAAAGTCTCCAGCTTTGAGCTTGTTTTATTGATACCCATTAGCGAATAAAATTTTGTTGTTGATCTTGATGCATTACAACATAGTTTTTGGTAGTGGTTGCTTAATGTTGATCACTGGTTTATTAACTACACTAAGCATCACCTCTGGCGTGCCGGTTTTCACACGGGTGTTTCCAGTGCAGGTGGGTGGCTCCTCTGGACACATCTGTTCAAAGGCGTGTTTGTCATCCTCCTTTGCTGTTCTACCTACTGCTTTAAAATACATTCAGATAAGAAAGGTACATCGCTCGGAGTGACTGCACACCCACAACAGCCGGGAGCCTGACCAACCAGCACCCTTGTGTTCCGAGAATAAATGGTTTGAAATAGCAGGACTACAGCTTGCTGTTTGGGGGACCTTCTTGATGCATCCTCAGTGGACGTGAAGTGAGTGTCTGTCACTCTGTCCAAGGACACACCTTTTGCTGGGGGGAGGGGAGGGTCCATGTGACAATTTCTTGTACACAGGATGCTATCCTTCCACAGATGTCTGGGGCAGGTGACACACAGGTCTACAGTCATATTCAGACAAAAGGAAATAAATATTATGCCTGGGGTGAGATCTCTCTCTCTCTCTCTCTCTCTCTCTCTCACACACACACACACACACACACACACACACTGGCTGGAGCTGGAAGGGGAGGAGTCGTCTGATTAAAATACATCAGACATCAGACACAGATAATAAATAAAAGCCCACAACTGAGTAAGTAACAGCAACAGGCCTAGGCCATTCCTCACGCCTTTTCCATTCATAAGCACCTCTGATTTTTTTTTTCTTTTCCTATGGGCAGAAACAGGATGAGGAGACAAAGGCCTTGGGGGACGGGGAGGAAACTTACTCCTGCTTTGAAAGGAGAGGATAAGAAAATGTGGCCCGTGCCTTTAATCCCAGCACTAGGGAGGCAGAGGCAGACAGGTCTCTGTGAGTTCAAGACAGCCTGGTCTACAGAGGGGGTTACAGGACAGCAAAGGATACACAGAGAAACCCTGTCTCAAAAAACCAAACAAAACAAAACAAAAAAACAAAAAAAAAAAAGGAAGATGTAGCCCCTGAATGGCATCAGAGCCCATCACACACGCTGCCTGAGCTCCCATCAGATTGGAGAGGGGCTAGCAGACAGCAAACCTGATCAATCTTGACCCAGGGTGCAATGAGGTGTGCTCTGGGCTCTCCCCTTTCCTCTACCGTGTGTAGATTTAACCATCTTGTCCCCTTGATCCTTTGACACAGTGATAACTGGTCATACATCAACCTGGCTGTGACACTGGGTCCCAGAAATAAGCTATGTTATTAGCAAATTAGTGTGTGTGTGCGCGCGCACGCCATTTTGGCATCAGAGAACCACCAAGAGAAACTGCCAGTACTGAGACTTCCCTGCTAATAAAATTCTTAAAAATGGAAAAGATAAAAATAAAACGATCACACAGAACACAGAGGGGCTGCCTGATGGTGCATCTGAGTGTAAATACATTCTTCTCAGGTCAGGCTCTGAGCCCGGCAGCTGACGACATCCCAAGAGTGGACAGTCCGTCAGGCCAGAACAGTGCAGGTCTTGAAGGAGTTGGACCACCCACACCAGGAGATGGTGAGCGGCCCTGTCGCTGTCACTGGAGGGCAAGAAGGCCCAGTGACACCCAGGCTGTTGATGCACTGTGACCCGTGCCATGTGGCAGCTGTGGCGTGCGACAGGGCAGTCTTTTGCAGAATTCACCAGATTCCTATCCATGGGATAAGAACACCCCTGGGAATTTCAGTGCTTCTTAAAAGTAAAGAAGAAAGGACGCCACCTTCCCCCCTCCCGGTGAGCTCGGGTGGCATCACGAGAGTGTGACCTCGTAGGGCTGTATCACTTCCTGCAGATTGGAAGAGAGCAGATGCAAGGTCCCCAAGGCCCGCGTACACACCGTGTGGAGTTCTCCTCCCCCCCCCCCCACGAGGCACACGGTTGATTTGTCTAGCTCGGGAGAAGTAGACCTCAGAGGGGAAACGGCTGTGGGTGCTCTGTGCGGGACAGGAGGCTTGGAGCTGCTCTCCTGCATGGCGGCCATCCCTGGGCTCACCGCAAGCTAGTCTGTTTGGGGAGCTTAGCACCCATCAAGATGCCAGAGGTGAGGATCACGGGGGCTCTCATCTGCACACTGGACCCGACCATGGTGGGGAAACTTCGATTCCGCCGGATGCCACTGGGGCACCCCAGAGGCAGGCCCTCAGGGACCAGGCCCCCAGGGACAAAAGCCTGTGCTGGTCCTGTGGCTCCACAGAGGAGAGGTCCCTGATCCTCAGTCAAGGTGGGGATATGTGGTCGTCCCAAGTTCACCGCTCTGGCCACCCCAAACCTCCTGACTTTGTCCACAAGGTTGAGGTTGGAGACAGACACGTCCGTCTGGCTCTCGCTGCTCCTCACCGGTTTCTTTTCCCTCACCTCCCTCAGGATGGAGCTGGCGGGCTTGGAAGCCAGGAAGTTGTTGTAGGGAGGGCTCGTGCACTTGAACTCGAAGGAGGGTGGCGAGGCCACAGGTGTCTGCATAGGGGAGTTTGGTGGGGTGGATGGGATCACAGCCATCCTAGGGGTGCAGGAGTGGAGGAGGGAGCCCCTGCCGGCTCTGTCCCAACTCTGGGGGTCGTACACAGCCGCTGAGATGCCTCGTTCCTTCAGCAACCATACCAGTCCGAGGGATGTGCTCATGGTGGTTGTGGACTCTCGGATGTTTGTGAAGGACTCGGCCAGGCTCAGTCTCCGGGGGGTGCATGGAGTGGCCACTGGCGTAGACTTCAAGTGGCTAGTGCTGCTACAAGCCGGAGCTGGGACTGAGTTAAGGCTGCAAGAGAAAGGGCTGGTTACTCATCAGAAAGGTCACAGGCTTCTTTGGGAGGATCAGCGGCCCTGCCTAGGGCAGAGTGTGCAGAAGGAGCTTGGGGTGGGAGAAGGCACCCCGTGCCCTCAGGGACTCTCTGTCTGCATCTGCCACTCATTTCTTATGGGGGGTATCCCCTTACATACGATTGTGCTCCAAGTTAACAGGAAACTGCCGTGGTCCCCTCTGTTTAGCCTTGGCTGGTGCTTGAGCTGCTCCCTCTCTCTGTACATAGTGACCTGGGTGACCTGGGCTCCAAGGTCAGCTGTGGGCTCACTCAGTGTGTCACACTGGGCCAGGAAGTGGACAGTCCTGGATTTGACCCCACTATCGTCAGGGCGGGAGGCGGACCCTTCAACAGCTAAATCACCCCAAACAGTTCTTTTCCCAGACATCTCGATCTTCCCGAGACATGAGCCAGAGCTCTGAGCATGAGAGCCCGCTACAGGACCAGCAGAAATGGCCACCCACGGCACAGCACTCACCCCCCGACCCGCCACTGTTCCAGCTCCTCTTTCCTGTTGCCCAAACTGCTCGGGATATGGTGGAGCAACACCTCCCACAATCAATTTGTCTGTAATGCTCGAAGCTCATCCACCGTGCCCTGCTGACCAGGGCCTCTGAGGTCTCAGCACCTGTCCTCCAGCCGAGCAGGCCACGGGGACAGGAAGAAGCAACAGGCTGCGCTGACGAAGAAGACTCTCAGGGGAGCACAGGGGCACAGAGGACATGCTGCCATCACTTCGTGGGACCCATGCCAGTGGCTGCCTGTTCCAGGCTTCAGGTGCAGTGGCCAGCTTCCCCTGGTAACAGGCCAGCTGAGTGGTCCCCAAGACTCTCCCTAGGAGGCCCAGGTACTCTGGGCAGGCACCAGCTGGCAGAAGGGAAGGAACAGGGCGCCCATTCTGGAGAAGGTCCTCCTCCCTAGACACAGGCAGCTCAAGGGCAGGTGCAGGAGGCCACACCTGTGGCTGGTCTCCCCAGCGGGTCGGTGGGCACAGGGTGGGAGTCAGGGGAAAGTTCATCTCACACTGGCTCAGCAGGGGGAGACTCTGCACTTGCAGAGACCACAGCAGCTCCTGGGATGGGAGAGGTGAGGTTTGCAGAAAGCACAGGGAGGGTGGTTTTTTTTTTTTTTTTTTTTTTAAACAAATGTTGATGGTTGCTTGAAGGTAAGCGTGCTCTAGACTAGAAGGCTTATTAACACAGCCATCCCCAGAAGGGCCTTCAGGGTTTTTGTCCTGCTGTGTTTTTTCCCAACTCAGGCAAGACAGCCCCCTCTTACTCCTCACCTTTTGGTCCCCAGTGCGGCCACATGGGACTTGTGGGGGAAGACATACTCGGGGGGGGGGGGGCACTCTGAGGCCGATAGCTTCAGCCAAAACTACAGTTACTCACAGCTTTTAACGAGGGACATCCTGTGACTTTAAGAATAACCTTTTATAAACAAAGTCAGGCCTGGAAGCCAGCATCTCCCTGGACAGCAAGGGGAGGGGGGGATGGAAACAAAGCAGAAATCCAGGGATCCCGACGGACGGGTGAGACCTTGGTTAGGCCTTCGTTAGTGTGGGCACTCAGCTGGGTTAGGAGGAATGATAGTCAAGGCCAAGTTAACCAGGCACAACCACAGAGACACATCAAAGCCTTTGTCCCCGGGTTAGTGGCAGCCACAGTTGCACACACAGCTCCTTGGGTGTGGCCCTGCAGGAGCAGGGTCTACTGGCCGTGTGCTCACCCCCTGCCTTTCCCGTGGGCTCAGACTCTCTGCCCTACATCTCTCAGATCAACGGGGCATATGGCTGCTTCGTCGGCATCCTCACAAGACCTGTGGAGAATTATTCACGGTTTAAGGTGCTCCTTGGGGTGGCTGCTCTCACCTCCCTCCCTACACCATACACTAACTCTGTGGTCTTGTTTGGCTGTGTCATGCACGAAGGGGTAATGGGGGAGGTTGCTCTCCTCTGCTGTGAGAGGCCATTCTCCTGGTTTTTTTTTTTTTCCCCCTGTAAGGCCACATGACTGCAATCTAGTCAGACATCTCTCCAGATGGTGTGCCCGAGCGAGGGATACAAGCCAGAGTGGACATGTGACTCCACCACAGAGTTTTTCCCATACTGGCCATTAGAGTTTGGCTGTGACGACTGTTTCCTGGAGTCTGCTCCAGGGGGTGAGGGTTTCCACAGAGCTCAGCAACTCTACCGTGACAAAAGCCCATGCTCCATTGGCAAGCTTTGGGTCAACACCATGCCGGGACATCCCCGGTGCTTGCCCAAATTCTGGCTTCAGCCAGGAAAGGGGAGTAGCATCCACAGGGGACAGTGGCAGTGGCTTTCCTAGGCACTGCCCCCCACCCCCACTCTGGATCTGAACAAACAAAGGCTCAGAAAGAAAGACAGGACCTAGAATGAGTGGCTCCATGTGCTTACACCTGCTGGGCTGGGTCTCCCTGAGCGTGCTTATGCATGCGAGTATCTGAGTGTGGGTGCAGGAGCATGCACAGAGGCCAGAGCTACTGTTTCTTAGCTACTGCCCCTCAGGTACCATCTACCTTGTGTTTGAGACAGGGTAAGTCTCTCTGGCCAAAGCCTCATCAAGTGGGCTAGGCTGGCTGGCCAGTAAACCCCAAGGGGCCATCCACCTAGGATTAGAAGCATGTAGGTGATGGAGATCAAACTCAGCCCCTCCCCCTTTTTCTTAATTGTTTCTCCTTGACAGGGTCTTACTATATACCTCTGGCTCACTTGGAACTTACAAAGTAGATCAGACTGTCTTCAAACTCACAAAAGACCCACCTGCCTCTGCCTGCTGGGATACTGGGATTAAAGGTGCGCAACACCATACCTGGCTTGGAGCTGGCCTTCGCACGAACCTCTTAACTTCCACCATCACACCTTGTGAGAAAGGCCATTCTCCAACTTGTATTGCTCCCACCCACCCCAGAGCCATAGTCCCTTACCTCGGCGTGACCCGCGTGAGCTCGTCTGAAGGGTGGAGGATTCGGCAGGTGGTGAAGGTGAAGGTGGAGTTGGTCTGGGACATGCACTTCCCAGGGTAGTGCGCTAGATCAGGAGAGGAAGAACAAACACATTCCTCGCACCCAGATAAACCACAATAGATGTTAGAATCCAGCACGACCCTCCACAGACGTGAGAGGCGATGGGCTACCTTGTGAACTGGATCTGGGCGAGGAAGTCAAGACACGATGTTCTGGACTGAAGGTGGTTCCTCAGAAATAACCATGTTTTTGAGCACTGGTCTGCAGAGCATCGAATCCCAGCTTCCGGCCCAATCCAGACAGGGTTCCTCATCAGAGTTCTTGGGCCAGTAGTGAATCCAGGTCCCAGGGGACGGGGGGGGGGGGGGGGGGCCAATGGGCCTTCATGGGTTAATTTAGATTTCCACTTCAGGGCTCGGGCCTGCTTTTTCATCCAGCATCATTTGCTGCGCATGTCTTTTCACTGACAAGTAGCTGCCAATGCCCTGCCCGGAGGGAGGGGTGGAGTGGGCAGGTAGAGGTGCTTGGTGCCTGGGATCAGGGTGCGGTTCACGAAGCTCCCTTTTCTGTTCATACAGAAAGGGTCTCAGGGAAGCTGGCTCCACTACTGACCCCGTGCCATGGTCAAGGTGGGAGGTGGCCTTAGCAGCCCCAACAACACCGTCCAGGAGAGATCCAGAACCCAGGCTGGTCTGACATACCCGCCACTGCTGCCCTACGCTCCTTCCCCATGGTCGCTACGAGCCCCCTTTTTACCAGAACTGAGACAAGGGTGGTCTCCTTTGATGTCTCTAAGCGTTGTTGTTAGGGCAGCTGATGACCAAGGCTGCAGCAAAGCAAATCATGTGAGTGTAAGGACCATGCACCAGAAGCCAGCGAAGGAATGGGTTGGGAGTCTACCAAAGACGTCATGATTGTCAAGGTCGTCCTAGCTCATAACCTGAGCGTCAGGGGGGAAGACAAAAACAAAAACAAAAACCCCCAAAACCAAGTGTGTGTCTGTGGAGGGGAGCATCAAACACATGCATGATGGACTCATGAGAGGTCACCCACCCCATTGCTCAGCCCTGCGGCAGCGCAGCCCCCAGAGGCCTCCTGGGAAAAGACTCCAGACTTCAGAGACCAAGAAACCCAAAGACTGTGTGTGAAGATTCGAACTACTAGAATCTTCTTGCAACAAGGGTTCTCTTGGATTTGAAAAAGGGGGGAGGGGGCAATCTGGCTTTGTCTTAAAAGAAAACCAGAAACCAAGTGAATCAAACATAAGAAAATTAATAATAATAATAATAATAGTAATAATAAAAAATAGGTGAGAATGGGTTGGAGACACAGATTGAGGCGGGACGGACAAATCCAGTGCACAAATATATAGATGATGGCTACAAGAATAGGGTAAATGTAGTTTCTGTTGGAAGCATGTCCCAGCTCTGTGTCCACGAGGGCCCAGTGACTCTAGGGTGGCAGCCAACTTTGAGCAGAGCTTCAGTGGAAGGCACAGAAGGGAACATAGCAACTAAGACACAGACACGGCCTTCGTGGGAGCTGGAGAGATGGCTCGGTGGTTAAGAGCACTGGCTGCTCTCCCAGAGGACTTGGGTTCAATTCCCAGGACCCACAACAGTGGCAACGGTGACTCCAATCCCAGGGGACCTGACACCGTCATGCAGGCAAAATGCCAATGCACATAAATTTAAATTAAAAAAAAGAAAGGAACAATGGCTTTAGCGTTGGGTGCAAGCAGAGGTTCCCGAGTTCAGGTAGCCGAGAACGTGCTACAGAGCGCCAACAAAAATGGACCGAGCTATAAAGAGGAGGCAACCAAACAATCACAAGTCTTGGACAGCAACAAAGTTCAGGAAAAAGAAGAACAGGAAGTCTGAGAAGAGGGTTATTGAGGAAAGACAGAGAGGGAAAGGGGTAAATAGATCATTAAGACAACATGGTAGTAGGAGATAACATTTAAAAAAAAATAAAGGAGTCAAGGAGGGATTAAATTTAGAAGTGCATCCCCATTTGAGCAAATGGTCAGAGTGTGCAACTGCCCCTCCCCAGCCCATTAGGTGTGCAGTTACCAAGAACATTTTAGAGAGGGAGTCAAATCATCAGAAGCAAAACCCATCACATCCAAATGAGATTGGGAGATAAGAAAAGGCTGCTAAAAATTCACGTCCCCCACTCCCCGGGAGCAATGGGCGGCTGTGAAGACCAAGGAGACTGATTATCTGAAGAGCCAAAGCCAGAGATTGGGCTCCTCCACAATACCACTGGGATGCCTGGGCTCTCGGGCTCTCGGTGTCACCACGGACTGCCGGGACGCAGCTGCGCCTCCCTTCCTTGGGACACAATACAGAGACAGTGAGTTTCTCTACGAAGGGGCTCTCCAGTAGCCCCTCCTGTCCGTCCCAGAGAAGCAAACATTGAGCCCTGATTGTTGGCTTCAGGATACAAACAAGCTAGACATGAAAACACACTTTGCTGAGCGGGAGCTTGGGTTCAAACCGGAGTTGCCAAGACCACACGCTGCACGCCACAGCCCAATGCCCAGCTGAACTGCAAGTCTGCTCGTTTGCCTCATGGGCCTCACTTGGGGGTGCAAAGGGCGGGGTTTCTTGGAATGGCTCCTGGTGCAATCCTTATTCTCATCTTAGCCACACGGGAGGGTTTCAAGCATCATGGGGCATGGACAGATGACTCATTTATTGCAGCCAAAGGCTGAGTGGCAGGTTGCAAGCAGGTTCAAGGTTACTGCTCCTATCCAAGCGAGCCAGGCACTCTCAGGGGTAGATTCCTGTGCTGATTTGGGCTTTGTGCTCACTAAGATGATAGCCCACTCTGGTTTTCTGACCACATCTTATATTTTACAATCCTAATCCTTATTGTCTAGCTGGTCTCTTGCTAGAGATTTTGATGCTGACTGGTAAGGTTTAAAATCAACTCAACCATAGCTGCGAGAGACCCACAGGGGTGAACTACAGATGACTGGCACACCACAGGCACCCACTCTATGCTGTGTTGGAGCGTGTGGGAAGGGCAAAGCCCACTCTGCTCCTGTTTGCTGACGTGGCCTGTGAGCTTCTGCTTGGAGTGGAGGTGCTTAGGAAATGACCCTACCTGCTTGCCTATGGCTAAGGACCCATGATGGGTCATCCCGGACACAGTTCTGGGTCTCCACAGAGCTGGGTGGTGGTGAGCGGTGCTACATAAACCAGGGTGGCTGTTGCCCTGCAGAGTGCCTAGCCTCCCAGCACGGCTGCTTCCCCACAGCCCCAAGTGCCGAGAAGAGAGGACCATGGCCAGACGCTCTGCTGCTCTCAGGGGTCCTACAGAGACTTAAAGATGACTGGGATTCTGCCCATCCTGGCAGACACATTCGGCCCTTCCTTCCGTGCGTCCTCTGGGGAGGGGCCAGTCCAAGCTGGCAATGCACCGGACTAACAGGTTTCCTCTCTGAACAGCACCCTAGAAGCCATCGGGCACACGCAGAGGCGCTGAAGCCTGTGGCTGCAACTGCAGTCTTGAGTTGCTGATACAAACCTAAGCTACTGCACAGACCTTCGAGAATGGGGAACGCTGGCTAGGCCAAACACTCATCTATACCTTCTTTTATTTTGAGATAGGGGCTCACGTGTCCCAGGCTGCCTGGAGCTCACTAGATAGCCTAGGATGATGACCCTGACCTTGATGCTCCTGACTCCACCTCCTAAGGGCTGAGACTACAGGTGTACATCACCTCCCCTAGTTTTACGGAGCTGGGGATGGGACCCAGGGCTTTGTGCTCTACCCACTGACCCTTGTCTTCAGCTCCAAGGCATGTCTGTCAAAGATTGCATAAATAACTCCTAAAAATGTCAAAAAACCTTTTTTTCAAGTGTATCTGAAAATCTTGAGAAAGGGACCCCATCTTCACAGGGCACAGAGCGCCTGCTACGCTCCCCCTGTGGGGAGTGGGCAACTTGGGTGAAGGATGGACCTAAGTGTACCTGCCCCCTTTCTTGACTTGGCCATGTGGGTGTGAGGCTGCTGGCATGTGATTCCAACCTGCTGTGCACTCTCTATGAACGCCTTCTACACACACGCACACATACACACACACCACAGACACACAGTCTCTCTCTCTTTCTCACACACACACACACACAGACACACAGTCTCTCTCTTTCTCACACACACACAGAAAGACACACAGACACACAGTCTCTCTTTATCACACATACACACCACACCACAAATACACACACACATACAGTCTCTCTCTCACACACACAGTCTCTCTCTCTCACACACACAGACACACAGTCTCTCTCTCACACACAGTCTCTCTCTCACACACACACCACACCACAAATACACACACAGTCTCTCTCTCTCTCACACACACACACAGTCTCTCTCTCTCTCTCACACACACACACAGTAGTCTCTCTCTCACACACAGACACACAGACACACACAGTCTCTCTCACACACACAGTCTCTCTCTCACACACACACAGACACACAGTCTCTCTCTCTCTCTCTCTCTCTCTCTCTCTCTCTCTCTCACACACACACACACAGAGGAGTGGCCACCACATCAACGAACAGTAGCACCCAGGGGCCTTTCCTACCAAACCAAACAAACTTGCTGAAAATAAAAGTTGTCATCTTCAAAAACGGCCTGCCTGGCGTGAGCTGAGCCTAAGCACATGGGCCAGGTTTTGCTTTTACAGAGCGCCCATCTTGTACGGCACTGTCCTGCCTGGGATGGAGAGGCTGCCTTGCCACGAGGCTCCTTTTCATGAGCCAAAAAAAAAAAAGGACATGAAAGCAATGTTTTAGAGCTCTTCCTACAAAGGCGAACATCAGGGCAGGGGTTCGAAAACGCTTCATAGCACAACAGTGCCTGGGAAAGATCATGTATGAAATCATGTGCCCAACTGCCATATTCATACAACACGGAGCAAAGGATGTTGCATTGTTAACCTGCACTTCCCTCCACAGGAGGTCATCGCCACACTGTTTTAAATGAGGCTATGCAAAACGTGTTGTTTTAACAGTCTATTTATGTAGCTCAGACTAGCCTCTGAATTCATAATCCCCCTGTCTCAGCCACCTGAGTGATGGGATACCAGATGTCTACCCCCACTCCCCCCTCCAAGATAAAAGTGGTTTTAGACCATTAATTGCTGTTCTTTTGCCAAAACTTTCTATCTAAGCGAGTAGCTTCTGGCTTCCCTTCCTTCTCATGTTCCTCTGCTTACACAGCCCTAGTCTTGGTCTCGTAACTCTGAAGGCCCCTGGCTCCCAGTCCATTATACCCCGGTCTGGTAGGTTTTCTGGAAGGTTCCATTGTGGAGACAGAAGAGAATCATAAGATCTTTTTCTGATTCTATACAATGGACATTTAGTTCTTGAGAACTTAAAAATTTTATTCTCACCATGGCAAACTGTCTGTTGTCTGTTTCGTCAAAAAAGTATGCATGAATTAGGAGATTAACTACTTTACAGCATCCTGCAGAGAGGGCAGGGTCAGTTTGAGTGCCTCTGAGGTACCCTCTGGAGGAAAAGGCAACTTTGGAATAACATAAACTATCAAAGGGAGTAAATGCAAAACTCTCTCCGGATCTCTTTCTACAACAAGGCCCAGACCCCATGCCACTGGCTCATCCTCCCTTCTGGGGCTCACACAGAGAGGCCAGGAAGAACCCTTGCCTGCTCGGGCAGGTTGGAGGGTAGTCCCCCATTCTCCCTGGGGTGGGGGGGCGGCTGCCTTGTCTGAACATCCCTGTGTGCTCATGAAGGCCTCTCCACATGAGCAGACTCACACAGATGCCTGGGCAGGCCACACGGCAGCTCCGGTGTCCTGGAGGAATGGATGCCAGAGAGAAGGCGTTCCGCAGTAGGCTCTGCTCTGAATGTTTTAGGCAGGGCCATGGCTGCCTGTCCATTTTTGAGGAATCGGCCCTTCCATTCGGTCAGCTGCTTCTGGGCTGCAGCTGACCTGTCCTGCTCAGTTCACCAGACGCTCTTAGAAAGGGTTCTAGGTCTTTTCTTAGCATGTCCTGACCCAGGTGGCTGTGAACAGACCATTCATTCAAGGACTCAAGGGTGAGAGCCAGGACTGGGGAAATGTCCCCTTCCCACGGGGAACACGGAAGGCACTTCCCTCTGCCAGAGATACCGGAAGGTCTGTGAGCCAATAGTGCCGGCATTCCCTTCCAGACCCTGGGCCACGGGGCCCAGCTTCTTCATACAAGCTATGCGGACCCTCTTGTGTGGGCAGAGGTGGGACAGACTTGCTCGAATGGGTTCCCGCTCTGTGACTGAGCTGAGGGAATGCTTCACTGACCACACTTCCTCCTCTCCGTGGGGGGCTATTATTTTCATTCCTTCGCTCTGCAGAGCTCCAGGGATAGCTTGGGTCTCTGTTCTAGATAAGGAAGCCGCAAAAAGGGTGTTTCCTGATGTCTGCCTCTGGTGGCCCTGGGGCTTTGGGATGTAGGGCATCTGTTTTAAATGAGTGTGATTTTAACGGTCTACACTGATGCCAGGATCTGGGGGCCCTGGCGAGTCATGTGCACTTCCGGTGGACACGGGTAGATAAGGCATGAGCCAGCCTCAGGGCATTATCTCCATGTATGTGAGTGACAGACTGATAAAAAACTGACTTTTGACTTCGTCTCTGGTGTTGGTTTAATCCCATCTTTTCCTACCCTTTGGGTCTTCAGGGGAATGCAACTGAGCCTGAGCAGTCCTGCAGCTCGGTCCACCGGACCAGCTGACAAGTGGGCTTAATTAACCCTTCCCTATGCAGGTCGTCCTCAACCACAAACTAAAACAGAGTCCTGGTAGGACTAGGCGTTGACTATCCTGGAAAAAAAAAATGTGCTTCCTCTGTTAATTCGGGACATCAAATACTCATTAAAATGAAGTAAAACTATGACCTAAAGGTTGTTTTCAATAGTCCATTTTAATCTCTAGACCATTTACAACACAACAACATGGAACCCGCCTTTAAGACATGGGATTAAGGGGGGGAGGAGTCAAAGGGTGCTTCAAGAGACACGTTAAAATGCACTAATAAAAATGTCTACCAGGTGAGTCTCTCCACTCTTCAGTCCTGCTGCCGCCTGCCTCCTGCTTCACACGTCTGCCCTCTGCCCTCTGAGATGTCCCCAGGCACACAGCCGCTTTGGGAGCTCAGGTGTCAGCGCTGGGCCAGCAGGGACCAGGCCGGTGGGATATAAATCCCGACAGCGTGGAACCCAGGCCTTCTCATGGAGACCCATCAGCCTTTACCCACCCTCGCCCGCTGTGCACCAGGAGCATTTGGGGCGCCCAGTGTGACTCGGGGTGGCAGAGTCCCAAACTCCACTCCTGCAGCAGAGCAGTCCTGCCATTTCAGTGGAGGAAAGCAGCCACGGCCTGCGCGGCTCTGCACACCTTCCCTCTGCACCCTGCTTCCAGAGAAGAGATTCCCACGGAGGAAGCAAGCTCTAGAGAACTCGCCCCCAAATGAGACACCTTTCCTGAATGACCCCGAGAAACTATCGATTCCTGGGGACACACACTGAGACCCAACTTTCTATTGTTTCTTCTCTACATGTGTTTGGCTACCCCAGATCAAGTTGCTGAGTGAACGTATGTTAAGGTTCAGCAAGGCCAGAAAGGCCACTGTCATGGAAGGGCAGAGGTCACTGTCACAGGAAGGAAGGGCAGAGGTCACTGTCACAGAAGGGCAGAGGTCACTGTCACAGAAGGGCAGAGGTCTCTGTCACAGGAAGGGCAGAGGTCTCTGTCACAGGAAGGGCAGAGGTCTCTGTCACAGGAAGGGCAGAGGTCACTGTCACAGAAGGGCAGAGGTCACTGTCACAGGAAGGGCAGAGGTCACTGTTACGGAAGGGCAGAGGTCATTGTCACGGAAGGGCAGAGGCTGGGCCTCTGGTCCTCATAACCAGGGCTTTTACCCTCTGACCTCTCACACAGCTCTTGGTGCAATGATTTTACTCTTTCTGGGGTGTGCCTTTCACCTCCCAGGATGGGCATTCCGGCTACAGGGAGCACCTACATGACCTCTCCCTTCAATACTTTCCCATGGTGGTTAGCCAGACGCTGGTGCTGTAGCTTGCTGTCCCTTCTTTGTTTTGTTGAAACAGAGTCTCACTCTGTAGCCCAGGCTGGATTTGAACTTGAGACCCTCCTGCCTCAGCTTCCTGGGATATAAGTGCCTGGATGGTAAATATGCACCACCAGGCCTAACTGAGTGTGCAGATCTCACCGGATGAACGGTTTCATTCCCTTTTAAAAACTCAAAACAAAATTTTTGTGATGGCGCCTCTAAAGTTGACAATTTAAAGAAACAACCGGATCAGGTCAAGCCCCTTGACCACCGCTGTCTACAATTAAACCTATGTACAGGCAACATTACCGAAACCCCGGCCTTGGCTTGGATTTCATGGCAAATGTGTGTCCTCTACAATTATAATTATGAACCAGAAAGAAGACTATCCTTGCTTTGCATTTAGTGATCTGGGGATGTCACAAGGTTGATGGCGCTGGGACCATTCATCTCTCCTCTCACACCCTGAGTTCTTTGTCTTCCCAGCTAACGGAGCACATGGATTAGCAGTAACCACCTAACACCCCAGAGGTCCCAGGAGCCCTGAGCATAAACTTCCCATCCCAGTGCGGGAGGTCTGTGGGTTACCCGGTAACCCGAGGTCACACTTCTGACACCTGGTGGTGGGACTTGTCTAGCCAGAGCACTTAGCTTCCTCTTTGTAAGAAGTTGATGCCATCTCTCAGGGTGTAACTGGTTAAAGAGCGTCGCTAAACACTTATAAAAAACTCCATTTTGAATACATGAAAGAGCACACGCCCCTTCACTGAAGTTGACGTGACCTTCCAGGCACCATCTACCCAGTCCCCAGACTTCAGCCTGATTTCCTCACATCCTACTGCACCATCATCTCCCTGAAACTGCCCAGCTTGCTCACTTTGGAAATCCCAAGGTGATAGGGAAATGGCCCATCAGAGAGGGTCGGGGCAGGCGCAGATCCCAGGAGCACCTGTTCTCGGGGACCCATGGATTACTTTTTAGCAGCCTCTCCTGCTCCCACACGCAGGGCCCTAGCGGGTCCTGCACCTCCAGGATGGACACAGGTGCCCACCCGTCACAAAGTGGAGGGTTTGGTCTCTACTTTAGAAGCAGAACCTGGCGATGGGAAAGGCTTTTTGCTATCACCCACACAGACGAGCGGAAGCTACAGACACAGAGTTACTACGGATGGTGCCAGGAACAGAGGTGAGCAAGGCCCAGAGCTCTGTCTCCGGTAAAGGTGTCAGGTTTACAGGACTAATTGAGGTGCCCTCACCAGACCCCTCCTCCTCCTCCTCCAGGCCCGCTGGCGCTGGCGGCTTGTGCATCTCCTCTGGGGAAGCCTGAGGCTGGCTGGAGTAACTTCTGCTGCCTGAGACAGTCACACGTGCTCGAGACCTCTCACCTGAGGTCTCCGGGTGCTGAATTGGCGTGGAGGTAGCTAGGCCGGTGAGAGAAATGTGGTCACCTGTGTCGTCTTCCTCAAAGTCGTTAAGGCAGTACACTTCATCCACGTCAACGTCCAGCGTGCGGAAGCCCTTGGTGACTACACCAGGACGAGGGTCCAGGATGCCCCCGAGATGAGGCTGGGCCAGCTGCTGCCAGTGGTGAAGTGTGGCTGAACCTTGTGGGAGAAAAGAAAGAGAGAAGAGAAGGGGAGAAGGAAGGTTAGGGTACCAGCTACAGTACAAGCTTCCCACACTCACACCTGAGCTTGCAGGAAGGAATACATGCCATACACGGCGTGTCAGTGATGCTTGCTTACAGAGTGTTCTAAAGCACCCAATGCCAAACTTAACACATTATCATTTCTCTGACAGAGGAGGGCGAGAAGGGTCAGACAAGAGTCACGGGAATCTTGTAACAACAGCACGGAACCAGAAAGCCATGGGATCCTCGGGTACAAGCCTGCAGACCCCCACAGCAGACACACCTGTGAACAGAATGTTACATAAGAGGAGGAGAGAACCAGGAAGGGAGGTAGGCAAGGACAGGGGTTCAAGAACCAGGTGAGGCGCCACAGAGGCCTAAAGCAGTGGAGCCATCTCCAAGGTGACACCAGACCCTAGGACTCAGGTGACAGACAGCCCGTGAGGTTTGTGATAACACCAGAGTGTGCATCTGATGACCTCAGGTGTCCTAGGCGGTTTTTTACCAAGAAGGTGTGCAGGAGTGTCTGGAAATGTGGGTGAAGATTAGCTAAGTGACATCTCTGACAGAAAACTGGAGTGGGTGAGGGGCAGCTGAGGCTTCCGTGAACCTGGGTGGAGACAACTTGCCAGGGAGGTCTTAGGAGGGTTCTGAAAATGGACAATTTCAGTCCCATTTAAATTGAAAACGAAAAGAACACATCACGAGCCCAATCCTCAACAACCCTTCAAGGTCCAGACCAGCTTTAAGGACACAGACTACATTCTCCTTAACAGACTTGGGCCTACTGAACAGAGAAAACAAAAACAAAAACAAAACAAACAAACAAAAAGCCAACAGGCCAGGCACTGGTGGCACATGCCTTTAATCCCAGCACTCAGGAGGTAAAGGCAGCAGATCTCTGTGAGTTCGAGGCCAGCCTGGTTTACAACGCAAGTTCCAGGACAGCCAAGGCTGTTACACAGAGAAATCCTATTCTCAAAAAACCAACCAACCAATCAAACAAACAAAAAAACCCAAAACAAAACAACAAGCGGTTTAAACAAAACAAAATGGTATTCGAACCTGTAAGAACTTCAGAAATCCTCAGCTTGGGACAAAAATACAAGTATGGGAGAAGACAAGGATGCTATTGCCATCTAGTGGCAGGAATGAGGGTGTGCACTTAAATATTCCAGTGATGCTCAGAGTCCCCAAAGGCAGAAGATGCAGGTTCCAATGTCATCTGATGCTGAGACCCGAAAACCATCCTTAAGGACCACATCTGTTGAGGACCTGAGGGAAGCCGCTGACCATAAAGGGAAATGCTTGTGCCAGGGGCACACAGGACTTGTGGAGTCCCAAGGTGCTACTGTGTCATAAATCTAACTTACACCAGAAGTGCAGTGTGGTGTGCCTGCCTGACTTACATGTGCGGTGTTGACAGAGGATGGCAGAACAGAGGCACGTTTACTGTCTATACTCTTCTGTTTATTGTTTCTCCGTGTAACAGCCCTGGCTATCCTGTAAATCATTCTGTAGACCAGGCTGGCCTCTAATTCAGATCCACCCGCCTCTGCCTCCCGAACCCGTGAAAGTCGCATCCCAACTTTATATTGTAGCATTATCTGCAGGGTACATTGTAAGCAGCCCTGCGTGCACACACTCACGCACACACGCACGCGCACACACACACTGTAAGGGTTTCTTCGGCCTAGCTGCAAAGACCCTCACTACACAGATATAACGTAGGAAGAGCATCACTAGCAACGGGAACACACCAGCACTGCGAAACACAGAGACAAAGCCGACTCTCTGGCCAGAGGAGCCAAGGCACCAGAATGATTGGCTGCCTCAGTTTGCCCTCCTTGTATAACTTGCTGGCTGGAGATGAGGTGGACGACAAATCCCTGGTGGGTTAATCTGCTGTCCTCTCTACTTTAGGCTCTCTGAATAATGACAGCTTGAAGCCTCTGCTCCTGCCTCTGCTCACTGGCATTTGATTGACATGATGGCAGTGCGAACTCCACATTCCAACAAACGCTCACCGAGCTCTACACGGAGGCAGAGGAGTGCATGCCTCCAACTCCCCAGCAGGGGCTCTCGCTCACTGTACAAATGAGGTTCCTGAAGCTGAGTGACTTGACTAGTGCTGTGTGAGAGTCAGAACATGAGCGTGTGGACCGGGAATGTGCCTGGGTGGCAGCGGGGAGGGGCTGGCCACCAGCTAGCTGTACAGGTGGTGTCAGTGACCCACAGCAGAACTTCCAGCAGGGTGAGCCTATCTCAACTCTGCTACCTCTGGCAATCCTCATCACAATGTCCGTGTGCGTCCTCACAGGTCAGGGGGAGAGCCCTCTACAAGCCATCATCATGGCATCCCCTACATCAGCATCAGCGTACCGTTTGATCAGGCGCTTACTGAGTGCCGGCTGCTCTATATGCCCAACCCAGCCCCTCCAGTTTTCAGGACCACCCTGCTATCTCCGGTGAGCACGGGGAAAGAGAGGGACACTCGCCAGAGGTCGTAGTATGCAGCAAGCAGCCCATCTGGGATTAAAATGAAGTCCTCTGGCGCCATTCCCTGAAGCTCTCGGCAGAGAGACACCCCCCCCCCGAACCCCCACAAGTCCAGGCAATAGCAAGCCCAGGTGGTGGCTGTGATGTCAGCCTCAGCTGTGATTTTAGTTATGGTAACGGTACTTTCTCTCCCTGGCTGGTCCTGAGGCCCCAGGTATTGAAGGAGCCCAGGACCCGAGAGGAGGAACATTTCCTCCCCCTCCCCTTCCCCCTCCCCTCCCAGCTCTGTCAGTCATATATGAAATCTTTCCTTTGACATAGGGAGCAGGGTGGAAAGTTACCCTTACCCAGAAGCACACCTTACCCAGAGGCGAGCACAAGCCACCTCTCCCTCTCCTTTATCCCTGCCTCCCTCCCCAACCTGGCTTCTTTTCCTTACCCAGCAGGAAAAGCACTGTGCTGCTGGCTACCATCCATCTGAGACCCTCCTCCCACGTGACAGCAGGCTGGGACAGGCAGAATGTGGAGAGGCCCTACTGCCCGCCCAGTCTTTTTCAGACGGGTATCTTTCTTGAATATCCTGTTCTTTGCTGGCAAGGTGGTTGAAAGCAGAAAGGGGGTAGTAGATGGAGAATGCTGATTGGCCTCTGTGATTGGCCCCGACAATGGTCTCCAGGGACCTCACCCCAGGTGCCTTTACCTGGACGCCTAGAGATCAAGGATATTCTATCGGGGTCTCACCGGGCCAATGGAAGCACATGTTAGAACATGACCCCAGCATAATGAAGGGTCTAGGTGTCAACTGCCTGCCGTAACTGGGCCCTTTAGACCCAGGGGGCTGAATCTGGGACGAATTTGATATGCTTGTTGGACAGCTATCGGGAGACAGCTCAAAAGGAGGGCTACCTCACCCAATACAAGTACAGAAGTTGTAATTGGGGACACAAGCCCGCTAAAGTCCCATCTTAGAGCAAACACGGAGATGCAAATATTGACTGTAGAGGGAAAGAAGGAAAGAACATATTGGTTGTCTGCTAAACATCCAAGAAAGAAGTCTGAGACACACAAAATGAAGCCAAGGGATCCGTATCACAGGGTGTGTTACAGAACACGTCGGTAAGACATGACTTTTTAATGGGAGGACTTGAACTTCCTGGGGAGTACTGATGCCACAGGTGGAATTCATCTTACAAACGTTGTCAGAAAAGTAAGGGCACAGATAAAGAAATAATGATGAAGTGGTCAAAATAAAGCTTTCAAAATCTCACCCTGCAGCGCACTTGAAAAAAACGAACCCAAAACGAATCATAGGTCACCCACCCAGTGAAACATAGCCAGGTATGGGGGGCAGAGAGAGAGATGGTCAGTGTCCAATGAACTTCCAGAGACAAAAGAAGAAAAGGACAGGAAGGCGGGAAGAAAATTGCAGAAATGGAAGGTTTTATTGAAAGGAAACCAGACATAATTGAAGGTCGGCAAACAGTCACCAAGCTCACAACTGAACAAGCAATTAAAAAGCAGTGAGCTGTCCCTTTCCTGGAAGGTAGGAAGGACCTTCTGCACAACAATCCGTCATGGCAAAATGAAAACCCAAAAAATAGCACATCCTCTTTCTTTGGGACTGTGGCACATGGCATGTCTTTACTAACCACGGCCGCGGCTCGCAGGCTGTCTGCTCCTGTTCTGTAAGGCTAGCACCGTCCCCGAGGCAGTAAGCACAGAGGCTCCGGAGAGGAAAACAACTGTCTTTCTCTAAGGCACAAGTCGGCACCTGTGTGACAGAAACTATCTGTCGTTATGGTGTGGGGCTTAATTAGAGTAATGCATCCAGAGATGCTCCTTAGAGGGGATAATGACAAAAGCCAAGGGAAAAAAAGCAGATGTGCAGACATCTGGGCTTTACACCAAAACACCGCGATACGCGGTTCTGAAGCAGTCTCCCAACTCACACGGGCTTCAGACTAAAGAAGGGAAAGCAAAAGCAGCACACACTCGGTGGCTCCTACAAAGCAACGGGACTGGGGGGGGGGCATCTGTGACATGCAAACCAAAAAAAGAAGAAAGAAAACGATGAGGTTTTCTAGGAACTCTGTGTCTGAGGAGCCCAGCACTACCCACACAGGAGGCTTACTGGGGTCTAGACAGGCTGACCTCCACCTCTATCTACCTCCTTCCTGCCTCCACGCTGCATGTTGCATGGGGCCTGGCTCCCTCCCAACAGAGCACACCTACAGAAAGCCGCAACTCAGAACACGTGAACACACACCACCTCCGCGTGGCTGGGGGCGGTACTCCCGAGGCTCCGTTGGCTTGTGCTGTTTGACAGTGAAAATCCTGAGAACCCTAAGCGTTCATCCTCTGCCTCCCTCCTCCTCTACCTGCCTCAGACCCTTGGGTTGATCGGGAAGTAGTTTGCTGTAGGGAGGGAAAATGGCCACGGCAGCCATCAGGGAAGGGTCTGAATGAAGCTGTGCACCTGCCACTAGGCTAGGCCCCTAAGGCACTAAAACCAAAAGCCACAACAGACCACCTCAGAGGAACTCAAACCAGCAGCGTGGGTGGCTATCTCGAAAGAAAAACGAGTAGGTGTGACAGAGGTGGCTGGCTTTCCCATGGTGGATCAGGGCCCAGAGCGAGTCACAGAGGAGGACAGAGAGGGGCCGAGGCCCCTGGTGGTCACCTTCAAGCGGCTTCACAATCTGCAGCTTCTCGGGCAGGTAGGAGCGACTGCTGAAGGACATCCCGGAGAAGCCCGTGAACTCGGAGAAGCGCGAATGTGTGCCCAGGGACATGATGCTCTCGGTGGGCGTGAGCGAGCCACTGTGCAGCTCGCCTTTCTCAGCCAGCTCACGCAGCTTCCTCTCCTGCTCCTCCTCGAAGAACCTCCGCTCAGACAGGTAGTTCTCCCGGCGCAGGGACAGCCGCCTAAGCGCTGTCTCCAGGTCGTGCGAGCCTGGGGTGCCTGGGGTGCCTGGCTTCTTATTGCGTTCCTCATTCCTGCGGAAGACGGGGGATAAGTACCTAAGGCCAGCAAAGGGCACCGAGGACCCCCTAGGGCAAGGCCACTGCTCTGCCTGGAGATGGTCTGTAAGGACACCCGAGGAGCCAAGGTTGGGGCAGACACCTGGAGGAGTCCCTTCTGTGGCTCTGAGCTGACTTTCTTAGAGACAGACGGTTGCACACTGCAAATGTGTGTTTTCGTAAGAATCTCCCTCCTGGTTATTTCGGAAGACCTTTTGCGGGAGGCTATTCCTGGGTGGGAGCTGATTCAGGGGGACCCCCTTCTGCCTCTTAGATCAAAGGGCCTGGGCTCAGTTCTGAGTGAAACCAGCTCGGCTCAACTGGCCCATAGCAGCTGTTTTAGTCAGTCAGAGGGACCAGAGTACACAGATGGAATGATGGGATGGGGATTGTGTTCTATAGGGCTTGAGGGCGGAGAGGAACTGACCGTGACTAAGGGCGGCCCTCTTTACCCGACCCTCTGAAGCAAACCAGAGAGCCTGAGTCCTCGTCACCCTTTCCAGCATCCAAGCTCCCCGGGGGTCACAGCGCTGACTCATGGGAGACGTCCCCTCAGAAAACAGTGGTGCCGTGGCTAAGGTGGGTCACTGCAGAGAAGTCTCGCCCTCACCCCGTCCCCTCCCTGTAACACAAGGAGAAGAGCCCGCTGCTCACCCCAGCTCCGCTGCCTCTGTTTCCAGGAGGATGCTGTTGGTCTTGTTGTCAAGGACCACGTTGCCAACGTCGCTGCCGTAGAAGCTGGAGCGGGGCGTGCTGACGCAGCTGGACAGGAGGGAGTTCATGGCTGAGGACTGGTTGGAGCCGGGGATGTTCATAGGGGAAGGGGTCAATGATCTCTGCTTGACCACTTGGTTGATGTTTCTCACGGTCTCAAAGACACGCTTCTGGTGGCTGGGGAGGACATGGCGGCCTTGAGAAGGCATGTCCAGGAAGAACCCCGGAGCTTCCCCCTCCACAGAGGCACCTTAGGGGGCCTGCTGACATAGGCTCCACAGGCTCCTGAGGGTGTGGGCACCTCATCATAGCGTGCCCTGGGGAGAAAGACGCTAGCCCAGACGACACCGACCGTCAAAGACCCAAAGCCTGCCCTGACGTGTGGCTTTTGTCTTTAGTACGCTCTGCACTGGAATGCAAGCTCCGTGAGGGCAGTACCTAAGGCACAGACATCTGCAGAGTGAGTGTGCGTCACCATCCACGGGAAACAAAAAGGCGAAACTCCAAGCCAGGCTCAAGTTTCTACCTTGAGATGATAAACACCTCACAAGGCTATTTTCAGAAGCGGCCGTTTGTAAGTGCAGAGCCCACGGTTTCACCTGCACGGGGCTCCTTTTAAGGAAAAGGGCAGGCACATCTCTGGACCGGGGTGTCAGGCACGCACTCATACCAAAGCCGTGAGGACACTAGTCACTGGGTCTCACATAAATTCTGCCCGAGGAGTTTGGGGAGAGAGAAACGACAGTCCCCAGATTCCTTCTAGATGCTCCAAGGAGCTCAAGCCTGAATCTGGAGTTAGCAGGGGGAACTTTAGGGACAGGGACCCCCCGGAGTCCTCAGAAGGGAACAGAGGCCTGGCTCACACCACTGAGGAGCCCGTCTCCTTACCATCGACACTTCCCTCCTCAGAGAGGAAAGCTTTCCATTAAGGGGGACGTGGAAGTTGGCAGGGGCAGGGGCAATGCCGCACCCTTCCCACCTCCCTGGAAGCTCATCGAGTGATTTCTTTGGGTGGTTTGCTTTGTTTCTTGAGACAGAGACGCGCTCACACAGGCTGTAGTTAGAGGCAGCCTTGGACTCCTGAGCCTCCCACCTCTATTTTACCAGATGGTTAGCGGTGCTGGGCACAGGGCTCAGGGAGGGCTCTCATGCATGCTAGGTAAGCCCTCTACCAGCTGAGCTATAGCCCAAGCCATCGTCATGAGGAAAGAGCAGAGGGAAGGGTCAGTCTGACGTGTCACATAGTTTCCCTTAACCGGACCGGGGAGGGGCACACTGTGGCTAGTGGTGTCTGAGGTCACGCACTAGAGGTCAACACTGAATCGGTCCTGAGTCAGTTTGTGGGAACTTGAGGTTTAAAAACCATGCAGCCTTACGTGATGTCCGGGGACTCCGGCTCTTCCAGCTGCAGCTCCTTACGCATGGTTCCCTCGATTTCCGCCGCCAACGAGTCCTGGGGAAAGACAGAGATGTGTTAGGTGAGCAGGGGCATCCATTTCTACATAAAGTCTGAGGCTGCAAGAGAAGAAACAGGGGGTCCAGGAATCCCAGACTTCTTGCCACACCACACAAGGCAACACGGTCAAGGCAGGTTCTGAGCACACAGCAGCCCTGGCTGAGAGTGAACAGTCCCTAACACACATGGACTTGTGTCTGTAAGACAGTCAGTTCCAGGCTCCGTTGGCCCAAACTACAGAGCTAAAATTGTGGCTACGACGCGGGTCGGGGAACGCAATGGGGGCATAGGAAAGTCTCTCCAAATATCGGAGGCTTCTGAAAGGTCCTACGTGGCCTCAGCCCTCGCTGGCCACACTAAGCTACTGTCCTTCCAGGCCACCAAGTCTGGCAAACGACACCCGGGAGGCCGAGGCTGCACCTTTGACTCCTAGCCAGGTACCTGCCTGCCAAAGGGTCTGTGGCTCTGCTGGGGAGAGGTCCCTGCCTGGGTAAACTGAGTCATGCACATTGTTACCTCTGCTTTCTCTGGAAGCTCCTCACCCCACCAGCTAGCCACGACACCCCACCAGCTAGCCTCGACACCCCACCAGCTAGCCTCGACACCCACGCTCATCATGTGCTTGGGAAATGGGAACTGTTATTCCCAGGCATCCCTCCTTTGTAAACACCCCCTGCCCAGTCCCACTCCTGACCCCATGGCAGCCCATTCTTTGCACACATGTACCTCCCAACCCCTTAATTCCTACTAGTTTTCTCCAAGTATACCGCTGCCCTTTTGAGGGGCTGGGGAGGGTGGCGTGAGCTTTAGGGTCAGGGGAAGGCTGGCTCTTGAATGCTACTGACTTCCAAGGTGTACCCAGAAGGTTGACTCCCACATGCGCCCCGCCCAGCCCTCCAACTTGAGGAAGATTTATCAATTGAGAAGACACAGTTCCCCCACCAATGTCCACGGGTCCCCAGAGTCTATCCATGGATTACAGATTAAAAACTCCCGCCACTGACAGTCGTTACGGCCGAGAGCAGGAGGCTCAGCTCCAGGAACACGGGCATGCGGCGGCCTTTAGACGGCTTTAACCGCCTCCTACGCATGGCACCCTTTCAACACTGCCCTCAAAACCTGGGCTTGCACGAACTTCAAAGAAAACAAAGGGCAAACAGAAGCTTTCGGGAACTGAAAACTGAGGATCCTTCCGGAAGCGCGTGCGCTCTTCAGCTTCCCTCGCGCAGTGGTTTAATTTCCTCCTTTTTAAAATTGTACTTGCTATGTATCCTGTGTGAGTGTGTGAGCGCATAGGGTCATGCGTGGGTGCTTGTGCGGCAGGGTACACCCGCCCTCCGAGGTCAAAGGACAACCTTTGGGACTTGTTCTTTCCTTCTGCCTCTCCTCGGTGTGTCCCAGGCTAGCTAGTCTGTAAACTTGTAGCCAATCATCCTGTTGCCACCTCCCATCTCTTAACGCGGATGAGAACGGCAGCCGGATGGACACCACCAGACCCGGTTTCCGTGTGGTTTCTGGGGATCAAACTCGGTTGAGCAGGCTTGCACGGCTAGTGTTTATAGGTGCTGGGCCATCTCTCCACCCCTGGTTTTGCAAGAGTTATAATACCTCAGCAGTAAAGCCTTTGGCTCACGGAGCTGGACTATCCTCTTTGTCCGAGGTGAACAGACATCCAGGAAAACTATCACAGCGAGAGGTTCCTCCCTGAAGCCCTTCTGGGCTGGCAAGATGCCTCAGTGAGGGTTAATCCCGGGGCCCACGCCAACGTGGAAGGAGAGGATCTCCTCCACACACACAGCTGTCCTCTGACCTCCACACATGCAGTGTATAGTGTGTGTCCTCTCCCACCATCACACACAAACACAGCAATAATAAATAAGCATTCTGAAAACTGGGACACACACACACACACACACACACACACACACACACACATACACAACAAACCCTGTTCTCCCCTCAGAATTCTCAGAATTCATTATTCTGCCAGACCACTGGAACAAAGCCTGAATATTCATCCAGGCACTCTGGGAAGCCTGTTCTCGGGCCATCCGGCTGTCATCCACCATCAGTCCCTGCTGGGAGGCTGCAGCTCTACACAGCCACGCACTAACATGCATAGCGCTGTGGGGTGCGGCTAACGCATGACCCCACCTTTGAGACGCTATGGTCTGCTAGGAGTGAGCAAGGTCACTTCCACGTAAGCAGATGTCATGGGGAAACACCTGGCTAAAAGGCTCAGCCCTCGTGTAGCCCAGAGTCCACGGAGATTAAACTGGAAACCCCCTTTGTTCTCCATGTCCCCTCAAAGCCTGGAAACTGAAGAAGCCAGGCCAGGACTAAAGAAATAAGGTCCCGGGCGGTGGTGGCGCACGCCTTTAATCCCAGCACTCAGAGGCAGGCGGATCTCTGTGAGTTTGAGACCAGCCTGGTCTACAAGAGCTAGTTCCAGGACAAACTCCAAAGCCACAGAGAAACCCTGCCTCGAAATAAAACAAAAAGAAAGGAAGAAAGTAGGTCGTGAGGAAATACTGTTTTTTTTAAAATGCTGATTCAGATCCCAGACTCTAAAAGATACCAAGAGAAGGGTTAATAAAGAACCAGGGGAACTGTGGGCTCTTTAAGACACGGGGGAGGTGCTTCAGGGCAAAATAGCACACAGAGCAACAGCAGCCATAAGTAACATCTAACTGGACCAAGTTCCCATAAAATCATCTCTTAACGGCAGGAATAGAAAGGACAGATGGGCAGGTCCAGGCCCAGTGGTCAGAACAGGACAGGAAGCAATGGTCTAGGGCACCCTCTCACCATGGGGACAGGAGCACTCTCTCACCATGGGGGCAGGGGCACTCTCTCACCATGGGGACAGGAGCACTCTCTCACCATGGGGGCAGGGGCAGGAGCACCCTCTCACCACGGGGGCAGGAGCACTCTCTCACCATGGGGACAGGAGCACCCTCTCACCATGGGGGCAGGAGCACCCTCTCACCATGGGGACAGGAGCACCCTCTCACCACGGGGCAGGGGTAGGAGCACTCTCTCACCATGGGGACGGGAGCACTCTCTCACCACGGGGGCAGGGGCAGGAGCACTCTCTCACCATGGGGACAGGAGCACCCTCTCACCATGGGGGCAGGAGCACCCTCTCACCATGGGGACAGGAGCACTCTCTCACCACGGGGGCAGGGGCAGGAGCACTCTCTCACCACGGGGACGGGAGCACTCTCTCACCATGGGGACATGGGCAGGAGCACCCTCTCACCATGGGGACAGGAGCACTCTCTCACCATGGGGACAGGAGCACCCTCTCACCATGGGGACAGGAGCACTCTCTCACCATGGGGGCAGGGGCAGGAGCACTCTCTCACCATGGGGGCAGGGGCAGGAGCACTCTCTCACCACGGGGACGGGAGCACTCTCTCACCACGGGGGCAGGGGCAGGAGCACTCTCTCACCACGGGGACGGGAGCACTCTCTCACCATGGGGAACAGGCCCAGGGAGTGGTATCGCCGGGACGTGGTGTTGGGCATCGTCTTGTTGCGCAGGTTCTTCAGCTCCTCCTGCGCCTCGTGGAGCATTTCCATGCACTCGGCGTACTTGTCCTCCAGCTCACGAAGCTGCAGGCAGAGGAGGAGGCTCAGGCCTGAAGGTACCAGAGAGCGCCCAGGTGCCGGCACGGCCACCAGCCCTCCTGCCTGACAGGCAGAGTGACACAACCATCTAACCCAATCCCCGGCACCTGTGGGCCCACAGCAAAGAGGGCTGGACCCACAAGGCAGGCTTCTCCTTTCACTCGGGGAAGGCCTGCACACAAGAAACCTGCTCAAATGTTCACAGCGGGCAAGCTGGCTAGACACTAACCGGGAAAGGGCAAATCGGTTACCCTACTTCTGGGCTCATGTTTCATTTCTGTTTGATACAGGGGGAGGGGGGCTTTCTATGTAGCCTCGGGCTGGCCTAAACTCATAGCAATCCTCCTGCCTCAGCAACTCATGGACTGGGATTGTGGCATGTACCAGACTCAAGCCATATCTTTGAACAGCTCTTTTACACATGCCTGTGGCGTAGTTTGTTCACCTATTTGGTATCTGTGGGATAGTAGAATATGCCAAGCCCTGAGCTGGTACTGAATTCAGCCTCCTTGTACTGGGAACACCCACAGAGGCCGTAGGCACAGGACCCAGGTAACGCAGTATTAAGCTACTTCGATATTAAAATGTTGGTTATGAGGGGAAAGACCAAGGCCTGTTGTGTGTGTGTGTGTGTGTGGTTGTCTTCACTGTTGTGTGTGTGTGGTTGTCTTCACTGTTATGTGCGTTGGGGGGGGGGGGGGAAGGGTTGCCTCCACTGGAACCTGTAGCCCTGGAGAACCGGCAGGCAGGAACACACACGCACCTCTGCTGTGAGTTGCCGCTGGGCGTCCTTGGCTGCACCCAGGTGCTGGACAAGCTCTTCATTTTCCACTGCACACTAAACACGGTGAAAACAAGTCGCCTCTGTTAGACACCCAGAGAAGCCCAACTTCCCCCTCCAGTTTCCTGTCACAGCCCCTCCTGTGAGGACCTCAGCACCTGTCAGAGGAGCGTGCACCTGATGCTGGAACAGAACACGACCTTTCATATAATTAAAAAACAAACAAACAAAAAAACGTTCTTTTAAAAAATGTTTTCAAATGTGTGTGTGCACATGCGTGAGTGTGTGTGTGTGTATCTGCCCGCAGTGTGGGGGCCAGGGAACAACTGGTTCTCTCTGGGGTTGGAACTCTGGTCATCAGGCTTGGCAGCAGACCCCTTTATCCACTGAGTCATCTCACTGGCCCCGCGATTGGTGAGGTAGCGCCCAGGACCCCACACAGCACTGTTTCCTGTGTGCCCTGCATGCCAATAATTTACAGATCACCCCGAGAAGCCATAAGGCCGCAAAGATCATGACCCCTCTGCTGACAGAGGGCAGCGGGGTTGGCCCCTGAGCTTGCTAAGCCAGAAGAACGGTATGCCTGGCTCAGGTAGGGAGCCATCCTCTCTAGTAGCCACCATCGCCAGCTCGGCGTGGCCGCCGCCATGGCAGCTGAAGAAACAGAAGTCTTACAGATTTCGCCTTCTTCTGTAAGTCCACGATCTGCGACAGCAGGTGCGTGATCTCCTCCTGCTGTCGGGCAGCATCTTCTGTCTTCTTGGCCAGCTCCTCTGAGATGCTCGCAATCTGGACATTGGCATCCCCTGCGACAAAGTAACGACAGGAAGTGGCTGAGCTGGAAAGCGCACACAGTCCAAAGTGAATACAGTCTTCACGGGGAGGAGTGGAGATGGAGATGGGCGTGAAGGGAGTCACGGTGTGGACATCTTTTCAAATGGTGATGTGGTCCTTCAGGCCTTCTCCTGGGCTATCCCTCCTAGCAGGGCTGACTCTAAACCACGAAGGCTGTCCCCAAGGCAGGTCAGGCGGGCCCCAGAGACAGAGCTGGAAGTGACACCCGCCAAGTATGACTGCACTTGGCCGGGCTCCAGCGTCCCACCATGAACAGATGCACACCATGACAGAAACTGCTCACGGTGCAATTTCCCCATGGCTTTCCATTGTATTTGGAGCGGAAGCCCATCTTACCCGATGAGAAGATGAACCGTTTCTTTTCACCGAAATGCCCTTTCTCTTATCTTACCTGGAAACTTGTTACAGAGGGCATGGGGAAAGTCATTGATCTGAATAACAAAGCTGAGAGCTCCGGCCTTTGATCTGGGTCTAGCCTGCACCAATAATTCCAATATTCCAATACAAAGTTCACATTAAAATTAAACTCCACCTGGCTTTCGCATGGCTCTTGATACACAAATCAGGCGAAAGTTGCCATGCAGTCTGGCAGAGGCCTGCTGCTTTCAGAAAAAATGCCACTGAGCTATGGGCGGGTAGGGAAGGTGATGGGAGTCTGAGGAGGGGGGGGAGGGGTGGCAAGACTTACTCAGCTCCTTCACGCAGTCGTTCACCAGCTGCTGCTCCTTTTCTTCATAGGTGATGGTCTCCGTCTTCAGCTGACAGGCCTGTGGATGAGGCTCAGTCAGGGAACACTGCTCACACGGTCAGGCAGGCCTGGCAGGTGGACCAGGGACCAGGCACAGAGCTGGGCAAACCCGGTTTCTGGGATGCTCCCTCCCTGTCAACATCTCTACACCTGCTGCCATAGCACGTCCAGCAGACAAGACACCTCATCTGCAATCCCTGCCTGGGTAATGGGCGAGTTCCTACAGCAGAGTCCTGAAGGCCATGGACCACCAGAGGGCGCGCGCGCGCGCGCGCACACACACACACACACACACACACACACACACACACACACACACACACACAGAGTATCTAAGACACAGCCCTGCCTGGAGCTTGTGTCCTACGAACAGCAACTCAGAAATGGAGCTGCTACCACGCCAGGCAGAGCTACCAGGCTCTGAGAGTCATTGACTCTGGGGCTCAGGCTGCTAAGAGCAAACTTGCCTGATCTCAAGAGCGTTCACAAGACAGGAATGCCAACCCTAGAACCCCAGCACTTGGGAGACTAAGGCAGGAGAGCTGCCCTGGGCTCCATAGCGAGCTGCAAGCCAGCCTGAGAGCCTATCTTTAAAAAAAAAAACCTGATGTGATGGTGCACACTTTTAATCCCAGCACTTGGGAGGCACAGGTGGGCAAGTCTTTGTGAGTTCAAGGCCAGCCTGGTCTACAGAGTGAGTTTCAGGGGAGTCAGAGCTACATAGTGAGACCTTGTCTCAAAACAAAAGTCACAGAGAGAGGGGGGAGGGGGAAGGAGAGAGAGGGGGAGAGAAAGAAAGATGGGAAGGGTGGAAAGGGGCAAGGGACACACACAAAGAGAGAGAGGGAGGGAGAGAGAGAGAGAGAGAGAGAGAGAGAACACAGCTACCATAGGTCTACAGGGCTACATAAGTGTTAAGGATTTAAAGACAGGTGTCTCTAAGGCTCTAAGGGCTTGGGTCCGGGCCACAGACAGACAAGAAAATTCTGAGAGCAGACATGGGCCATCAGGAATGCACACCTGACTCAGAGTCCTCCCGCTAGCCCTTGGGAGAGGAGGGCTGGCTGTGTGCCTGGGACTGGGGCAGCCCCCTGGGCCAGAAGCCGGAAGACGGCAGCTGAGAGGCTCAGTGTTCCGAGCCACGGCCAAGCTCACCAGACCTGGGTGACCAGACCTGGGTGACCTATGTGGTTGTCTTGCCTTGTGGTTCCATTCCTGAGAAACAAAGGGCTGGCGGGGGTAGGGTCTACATGGACAGGTCCTGCAAAAGAGCTCCTCGTGCCTGGTAAGGCACGTGCCAGACAGGAGGCTCTTTGCAATGTGTGGCAAGTCCCGTGAGGGGCTCTGGGGAGTCTGGAGCCATCTTAGGAAGGCTCAGGACCCAAACCTGACAGACAAGGGCCTGGTAGACAGGGTGGTGCCATCTCGTACCCACAGACCATCTCGACGCTAATTAAGAGTAAAAGGCGCCACATCTGTTCTCATAGGAGGTTTCAGAGAGTGGTGTCGAGAAGGAAAAAACTATACTTGGAGCCAGAGGTGCAAATCCGGCCTTTGTCATCTGTTAACCCTGGCGTCTTCAAACACTGGGCAGCCTGGTACAAATGACATTCAGAGTAATCAACCAGCCCTTGGCCTTGCTGTGAAGACTAGCAGCAGTAACAACAACAGTAACACATAGGGGTGCCTGGTGCAGCCACTTCCTTTCCACACAGGAAACCCTTGGAAGCCAAAGTTCCCAGCTGCCTCGGCTCAGCCTTTCCAAGGTCAGGAGTAAAACTCTGCCTCTGTGCTCTGGTGTTTGGTCTTCTTGGAGCAAACCTGATCCTCAATAAAGTGACAGCTGGTGTCACACCAGCCTTTAGGCCATCACTCAGGTCAAACTATGGGAGCTGGGGGACACTGTGGAAGGCATGGGGTGAAGGGAAAGGCCTGTACCTCCTCACTCTTCACCCACTGTGAGGGCCGGCCCAGAAGCAACACCCACACATGGCCGAGACTGCATCCGGGCACCCTGGCCCGAGAGCAAGCTCAGGATCAGGACACCCTGGCCCAGAGAGCAAGCTCAGGATCTGGGCATCCTGGCCCAGAGAGAAAGCTCAGGATCTGGGCACCCTGACCCAGAGAGCAAGCTCAGGATCAGGACACCCTGGCCCAGAGAGCAAGCTCAGGATCTGGGCACCCTGGCCCAGAGAACAAGCTCAGAATCTGAGCACCCTGGCCCAGAGAGCAAGCTCAGGATCTGGGCATCCTGGCCCAGAGAGAAAGCTCAGGATCTGGGCACCCTGACCCAGAGAGCAAGCTCAGGATCAGGACACCCTGGCCCAGAGAGCAAGCTCAGGATCTGGGCACCCTGGCCCAGAGAGCAAGCTCAGGATCTGGGCACCCTGGCCCAGAGAGCAAGCTCAGGATCTGGGCACCCTGACCCAGAGAGCAAGCTCAGGATCAGGACACCCTGGCCCAGAGAGCAAGCTCAGGATCTGGGCACCCTGGCCCAGAGAGCAAGCTCAGGATCTGGGCACCCTGGCCCAGAGAGAAAGCTCAGGATCTGGGCATCCTGGCCCAGAGAGCAAGCTCAGGATCTGGGCACCCTGACCCAGAGAGCAAGCTCAGGATCAGGACACCCTGGCCCAGAGAGCAAGCTCAGGATCTGGACACCCTGGCCCGAGAGCAAGCTCAGGATCTGGGCACCCTGGCCCAGAGAGCAAGCTCAGGATCTGGGCACCCTGGCCCAGAGAGCAAGCTCAGGATCTGGGCACCCTGGCCCAGAGAGCAAGCTCAGGCAGGACACCCTGGCCCAGAGAGCAAGCTCAGGCAGGATTTCTCCAGGTGGATGCTATGCAGATGTACTGTCACCAAAACTTTTGCTGTCAGAGGGACACCCCAACCCTTCCCAGGGGGCAAGAGCGGGATGTGATTGTCACCTCAGACCGAAGGACAACGTTCTCCTCTTCGAGGTCCTTCAGCTTCTTCTGAAGGGAATCCAGGTGGAAGTAATTCTGGACAGAGGAGGACGACTCATTTCTCTTCAGTCTGGGAGAAAAGCGCACTCAGTTAGGGAGGCTGTGTGGAGGCCGGGAAGAGCTACCCCAAAGCTGTAGGAGCCACATTAGTTCAGAGCCGGGGGTGGGGGGGTGTCAGCTATTTAACCAATGCAATTCCGAGAGTTCGAGTGCATAACTCTTGAGATGCACGCCTATTCACCAGGAGTGTGTTACGGGTCGGTGAGATGGCTCGGGGACTAAAACGTCTTGCTGACACACCTGCTGACCCTCAGAGAAGCACCCAGGCCTCTGCCCCAAGGACCTGAGGCTCCGGGGTCTGTGCTCCCCCACAGCTGAGCCCATCCTATTCTCACAAATGTGCCAGGGCAAATGGCTGCTCTGGCAAGCCAGCGCCGAAACACCGCAGTCTGCCCGCAGCTCCCGCTGAAGCAGAGAGGGAGATGGCTTCATTTGAGGCCTTTAGATGGCTGACCCTGCCTAGACGCCTCCCAGGACTCCCGCCCTCGGGCTCCAGGGACCTGCGCTGAGACTTACGGGGTTGAGCAGACGGACTCGGGCTCGCTCTCCTCGGCGGCGCTGGTGTAGAACTGGAGCAGCTCATCCTTCATGGACAGCTCGTGTCGGAGCTGGGATACCTATGGGGGCCGGGAAGAGCAGGCTGAACCTTTCGGGGAGGTGGCAATGTCCCTTATGTGCTCCAACGCGTACTGGTGAGGGGTGGCGACGCCCCAAATGAGGATTGCTTAGCTACTCAAAACGGCAAGGTGTTGACTTTGACCCCATTAAAAAAAAAAAAAAAAAAAAAAAAAAAAAAACCCAACCAATGACTTCTGAGTGGGAAACTGTGTTTATCATGTTGAGTTACAAGAGCAGACAGGGAAGCAGAAGGTTCTGGAATGATCACAGGGGGGGGGATAGGGGTGAGGCTTTGCAAGTGGCCAGATGACCAGCTGGGCACGTGGCCAGAACAATGGGCCATATATAATACTGAATGAAAGAGAGGCCACTGGCCTTGTCAGAACTCAGTGTCATCTCAGAGCAGCTCTGCGCACATGCTGACTCATGGGCTGCCAGGAGCCGTTCACAGAGCCCTGCCCCCCTCCCGTTGTGTGACAAGCACACCTCACAGTGCCCCTGGACAAGCTGGTCAGGCCCTATTCTGCACACAGAGGTTACTGGGAGGAAATGATGAGCTGTGAGGGAAGCCACGCTGCCGACCGATGAGGCGGCTTTGCAAATGTTGCTGATTTGGGCTCAAGGCTCTCAGATAAGCAATGGTTACTGTGAAATGTCTCATCTGTCCTTCCAGCATTCAGTACTGATAAGCATGGGACCTAGCCGGGAAGGAGAAAGGGAAGTCTGTTTTCTGGTGTGGCTCAGGGTTTGTTCTAACTCTCCCACACCACACAGGGAGTGACTCTGTCTTCTCGGGGGATGCTGCACAAGGGCCCTCCTACCCCGAGGGACCACTCAGTGATTCTCCAAAGGGAAGCAGGACCTCAGAGTTTTCTCTGCATCCCACGGCGGAGGATGCTCTTCACGCAGGCTGAGGAGGTCTCATCTCACACCAACAGCCGTGGAAGGAGGCCAGTGGGCGGCCATCGCTCGCCGCCTCCTAAGCGGTGTGTCCCTCTGCTCAGACCAGAAGGGCACCCCAGCCTATGTGCTTTCTCTCCTAACTGAGGCCATTTCCCTGGGCCAGAGAAGGCAAGAACAACTCCATTTCTCCCACAATGCTACAGCAATCCAGCCTACCATCTCAGAAAGCAAGGTGGAGATAAGGCCCTTTCTTACAGGTCGACTTAAAACAACCGAGGAATCGCTTTAATAAAATAAAATAAAATAAAGAATGACTGACTACACCATAGGCGGATGGAAAAGGGCGCCCTTTCCCACTGAGGAAGGCACTGATGGACAGTGAGAAGGAAGGGTCCTCAGAGCTATAACTTACTTGTAGGAAAACAGGTCGAGGGGAGAGAAGCCCCGAGTCCCTGCTCCATCAACGCCATCTGACTGTCTATACCTCACTTCCAGGAAACCAGCACCCTTCCTCCTGCCTGTAGGTTCGCTTTGGAGATGCTGAGATGACAGTCTGCCCCCTTCTCCTCTGACAGCCATGAGTGCATACAGTGAAAACTGCAGGCTGCGGTGTTGCATCGTTTTCTGCACTTACACGCTGATACTGGCGTAAGGAATGAATGGGGTGAGAACCACTGGCTCCTCCCCTGCTTGCTTCCTCCCAGCAGCGCGGGGCTACGTGTTGAGTCCGGGCTCTCTGAGGACGCGGTCATGCCCACGCCTGCACACATGCTCCCACCTGCCTGCCTAACATCTCCCGGCTGGGGGTCCTCACCTCCTCCCGGATGTGCTCCACTTGCTCTTCCAGAAGTTCGTTCCTCTCAGTTAGGGTCTTGTTCTTCTTCAACAATGACTGGCCGATACGCGCGGCCAGCTCCAAATCCCGCTCTTTCTATGGTAGGCAAGAGAGAGAATGGGACTTAACCGGGTGCATCCTACAAGAGCCAACAGGGCTCAAAGTCAGTATCCCCAAAACAGTGGGAAAAGTAACAATCCTCCATCCAGGTCCTTGACGCCTGTAAAGAGCGATGGCTTTGCCGCACATCACAGGAGCTACACAGGAAGGGTTGATGAGACCCAGGAACACGGAGGGAAAAGATGATTCGTTTAATCACCGAGTCACTGATAACACTTCTCCCCACTTGAGGGCCAGCACATGGGAACACAATTGACTCAGATGGATGGACAGACGGATGGATGGGTAGGTGGATAGATAGATAGATAGATAGATAGATAGATAGATAGATAGATAGATGGTGGAAAAGCAGGTGAGTAGATGGATTGATCTGGAGGATGGATGGGTGGTTGGGGGATGGATGGATGGATGGATGGATGGATGGATGGATGGATGGATGGGTGGATGGGTGGATGGATAGATGGGTGGATGGGTAGGTAAATTGATGGATGGATGGGTAGATGATAAATTGATGAATCAATAAATGGATGGATGGGGCGGTCAGTGGACAGATGGGGGAGAATATGCTCCCAAATAAAGCGAAGGACTGGCAGTAGGAACACAGGCCTCTCTAGCTCACACCAGGCTGGACTCTATCAGGACATGCTGAGTCCATCATTCCAACCTACAAAATGAAAATGTTTAAAATAACTCAAATGTGATTGCCTATTTAGTTTGTTTCACTTTCGTACTCAGATTTTATTCAACTTTATTTTTTAAAAAAGAATTTTCAAAGTGCAGAGAAACCATAGCAGGTGGTCAGCGGCAGTGTTTAGGAACAGGATGTTTTGCTAGTTCAGCCATGACAACGGACAGAGCAGACCACACAAAGACATGACTGTCTCTGTGGGAAGAGAGATGTCCCAGGTAGGGGACAGATGCCAACACCAAATCCATCTCCATGAGATCCCCCTGATTGCATTAGATGGGAGGCTGGAAGGAGAAAGATGTTCTAGAAGACCAAATCATTTCACAGTCTATGCCGAGTACCTGTTCACCTGCTCTAGGAATTGCCATCATAGAAACGGCGGGCGAGCTGTTGCAGCAACCATTGGGGGCCCTGACTCCACGGGAGGTACTAACTACCCTAAAGGCCTGGGACATCTGTTCTCTTCTGATCCAGGAATACTATAGCTTTGTTCAAACCACAGGCTACGAGCTGAGAAATCAATAAAGTAATTGCACTTGATACCTTGTTCGTTGGAAATAAGATAATAAAAAGTCTAAGGCGTAAGTGAAAATGAATCAGTTTCTCACATACCATTGTGCAGAAAGGGATGCCAGCACGGAGAAAGGCAAATGTGGGTGGCGTGCTGATTTGGCACAAAACAGTCATTTTTTTTTTTTTTTTTTTTTTTTTTTTTTAAGTCGTGAGAAATTCCTGCCCTCTTCTCCCATAAGCCGGGCCATCCCCTTTGCAAATTCCCCATCTCATTGATCCGGGATACCTGGCCTTATTCAATGAGCAATTTGGAGTTTGAGATGCCCCCCTTTGCTAACAAACCATGGCCTGTCGTGTAGCCGAATGCTACATTTTCCAGAGCATCTGGGCTCCATTCCCTACCCTCATAAGGCTGCTCACAACCTTTTGTAACTCCCATCACAGGGGATTTGATGCCCTCTTCTGGCCTCTGTGGACACGAGGCACATAGTGCACAGACAGGCAAAACACCCGTGCACATAAAAACAAGCCTTTTATAAAAATCAGAGAAACTCAAGTGTGCCCATCACAAACGGTATTACCTGTAACTTTCTAACTCTGTCTTGAGACAAGCCGGCACCAGACACCAGCTAGAGGAGAGAGGGGCCTAGAGCTGCCCATCTGTGACGTAAGGGGCTCTAAGCATGCCTCACACCGGAAACGGGGCAGTAAAATATACTCCTTACATTGTCTCAAGTGAAAAACAACAGCTCAAAAGTGAACATATCAAAACGCCTCCCACGCGGCATGAGTGTCAATTTGTGTTCAAGCTTTGGTCTGTGTTTATAGAGGTGAGCAGTAAATACCCTATACCCAGCCCTACCTGGCCTCTTTCCCACATGTGGAGAAGGCTCGCCAAGGTGGCCAAGGGACAATGACAGCCCAGGCATCAGTCTCAACCCTGCGTTTGTCCACGGGGGCCACGGGGAGACAAGAAGACTCCTCACTCACCCGTGGCCCCTTATCGCCTCTCAGACTCACTGGCTATGCTCGGCTGAGGGAAGGACTCGAATATGGTGACTGAGGACCCAGACGCAGTCGGGATTAGAACTGAGTCTAAATGGTTTCAGTCCTCTCACCGGGGGAGGCTAAAACTGCAATCACAATGTCCGCACCTCTGCAGAGGTGTGGCCTCCCTGAGCCCAGCTCAGACCTGTTAAATTCCTTGCTAGACCCAGGCGGGACGGTCAGGTCAGCAGGGGTTCAGAACCCATCACTCACTTCCTGATCCCGCTTCTCACTGCTTTACCCCACCAAAGCTGCTGACTTCCTACAAGCATAGGAGTTCTCAATGCGAGGAGCACTGCGGGCGGTGTGGTGGGGAGCACTGAAGGGGTGAGGCAGGGAGCACTGCGGGAGGTGACGCAGGGAGCACTGAAGGGGAGCACGGCAGGGGTGACACGGGGAGCACCAAAGGGGGTGAAGCGGGGAGCATTGAAGGGGGTGACACAGGGAGCACTGCAGGAGGTGAGGCAGGGAGTGAGGCAGGGAGCACTGCAGGGGTGAGGCAGGGAGCACTGCAGGGGGTGAGGCAAGGAGCTACTGGAGGACATGAAGGACAAGGCTTCCCAGGGGACAGAGAGGGCTGGCGCCTAGGAGGGAAGAGGACAGAGAACAAAACAGTCCCGGAGCAAAAACAAGGGCAGTTACCTCACACAGGAAGACCTTTGCCCCACTGGCCACACCCCACACCTCTTGCTCTCTGCCCTGCTGAGAACAGCTATCTTCACAGTGATGACCCCTGCAGGGCATGTCTACAGCATGAAAAGCAGGAAGGGGCAGAGAACCCCTTATGGGCGACTGGAAAGCCCGAACCTGCTGACCATCTCCAGGCTCTCTTGTATAGCTTGCTTCTGCCTCCGGGTGTCTGCTATTGTTGTTTTGAGACAGGGTCTAGGTATGTAGCCCAGGCTGACCCCGAATTCCTGGTCCCCCTGCACAGCTCTGTCTAGGTGTATTCAGGCAACAGGCTACCTAGGTTTCTTTTGAGAAACACAGGTATGGGGCAAGGTGTATGTGTGCACATGTGTGTAGGGGTGTGTGGGGGTGTGTATGAGTGTGTGAGTGTGTGCACATGTGTGTAGGGGTGAGTGTGGGGTGTGTATGAGTGTGTGAGTGTGTGCACATGTGTGTAGGGGTGTGTGGGGTGTGTATGAGTGTGTGAGTCTGTGCACATGTGTGTAGGGGTGAGTGTGGGGTGTGTATGAGTGTGTGGGTGTGTGCACATGTGTGTAGGGGTGAGTGTGGGGTGTGTATGAGTGTGTGAGTGTGTGCACATGTGTGTAGGGGTGAGTGTGGGGTGTGTATGAGTGTGTGAGTGTGTGTAGGTGAGTGTGTGGATGTGTAGGGTGAGCATGTGAGTGTGTGCATGTATGTGTAGAGGTGAGTGTGTGAGTGTGCACATGTGTGTAGGGGTATGTGAGTGTGTGTGATTGTTTGGGGTAAGTGTGTGTGTGCTTGTGTGTGGGGTGTGTATAAGTGTGTAGGGGTGTTGTAGGGGTGAGTTTTAATTCTAAAATCAAGAAAATAGTCAGGGAATGAGCTTGGCTTTAACCGCAGTGGCAACCAGAGACTATAAATAACTAACTCAGGCCCCAGTACAAGCAGTCAAAATCTAGTTCTTTATTCTCTGAGAAATGAATCAAGGTGGCTTGAAAGCCTACAACCTGATATCCACCCTTGGTACCAACACACACAGGGCTGGCTGGCCCTCTCCCTGCAGACACTTAGCCTACCTCCCACACTCAGCATGACTCATCTCATTCACCAATTTTAGGGTAAAAAGGGTAACTATGGACCAACGGAAAGCACGCTGTTACTGGGGCAGAGAAATGAACTCTGGGTACATTCCCAGTCAGGCAAGCTTCAGGATCTCCTTCTAGTAAGGACCCTCCCCAACACAGAGACACACACAGACACATACACAGACACACACACAGACACAGACATAGAAAGACACACACAGAGACACAGAAACACAAAGACACACACAGAGACATATACAGACACATACAGACACACACACACACAGACATACTGACACACAGTTACACACACAGATATAGACACACAAAGACACACATACACAAACACACACACAAAGAGACATGCACACACAGACATACAGACACACAGATACACAGACACACAGACACAGAGACACACATAAAGACATACACATACAGACATGCACACACAGACATACAGACACACAGATATAGCCACACAGACACAGATATACACAGACACACAGACACACACACGACACACAAAGACAGACAGACAGGCAGACAGACACACACACACAGTTTGCAGCTGGGCCTGTACATCCTGGGAAAACCCTACAGCACTCCTGAGTGCAGCAGGACAGATGTACACACTAGCACTCCTGAACAGAGGCCCAGAGCCCGAGCAGGCTCAGCCTGGGGTGACTGTCACACGACTGACTGTGGCAGCCAGACTCTACGACGACACCCAGTTCCAGAGAAAGGCAGGGACTTCCTTGTGATCGCGTCAGGGCCAAGGACGAAGGGAACAGTTGCTATTTATAAAGCACGGAGGTGCAGACGTGATTACCGATCAGGAAGGCACTACAAAGAGCCAAGGAAAGAAACTGCTTTATGGAGATGACATTCTTTCCGTCAACTCAAACTTGTTTTTCAAGTAGAGCTCATGTCTCATACAGCCATGCTCAGTTAGAAAATTGAACAGAAAAAAGTGAAATTAAAAAAAAAAAAATCTTTTGAGACAGTCCCATGTAGCCCAGGCTAGCCTCAAACTCACTGGATAGCTGAGGATGGCCTTGAACTCCTGATCCTCCTCTACCTACCTGGACCTTCTAAGTGCTGAGGTTACAGGCTTACACTACCAAGCCTGGCCAAAAAGAGAGTTCTTCATACAGGGCCCCTACATAAAGGGCAAGAAACCTCAGCCCTCTGGAAGTGGCCTTTGGATGTCGCGGCAGAGACGAGGGTGGTAGCCCATGGAAGGCCGCCCCACAGTGAGGCCTCAGATGCACCATAGCCAAGGACTATGGGCTGTGGAAGCCCAGGGCAGCGGGGCACACTCTGCGGGTGGAAATGTCCTCCTCAAAACCAACAAGCGATATTACCCGAGCCTAAATAGCAAAGGCAACAGGTAAGGGGAAAGAAGCTTTTCCCATCAGGAAGGGAGTGGTTACGAGCCCGCCCTCCACTGTTAACAGCATCCACCGTCAAGAGCGTCTGGAATTAACACACCAACTGGTGGGGGGCACCCAGCTGCTTGTCACGTTCCACTCCGGAAAGTGCAGCCGGAGACAGATATCCCACCGGAGGTCTGTGAAACCACACGGCAGGAGCTCTGCCCTGGCAGTTTCTAAGCAACCCAGACACGGGACTGACTAACACAGCAGCAGGTTCCAGAGCAGCTTCGCGGGTCCTGTGTGCCTGTAGCGGGACAGTGAGAAGTCGAGAGAAGCTCACGGGATCTCCAGGTGGGAAACCGGGGGGTACGGCTCCGATGGCAGCCGGCCGGTGCAGACCAAAGAACGTGAACTGAGCACAACCCCAGGGGCTCTACCGGCCAGGAAGGAAGAGTGTGAGGTTGTGGGAGAAACCAAGGACTTAGCACAGGGCGAGGGCAAACCCCACTACCAAGGCTCAGGAGCCCAGAATAAAGATGCGGGTACAGATGGAGACACCCCACTCCCCCCACCCCCGAGAATCGGCGGCTCCGTGTACCTGGGGTTAGGGACAGATGCCAGAGATACTTGCTCCACAGTGGATCCCACAGGGAAAAGTCAGCAAGGTCGCTTCCAAATCCAACGTGAGGTCAGTGTGCCTGCTGCCGGTCCACACCAGCCACAAGACGCTGGCAACTATAACGTCACCAGAAGGCCGGAGGCCGGCGTCTCAAAGCACAGGCACACAGTCCCAAACCCTGATGTCACCTATGTGGAACCGGGGGTCGGGGGGTGGGGTGGGGTGGGGGTAACTTTCTTTTCTCCTCCCTCAGAATAGACAGATGTGTTCCGGGGTAAGCGGAAATGTCACATATGCTCAAGGAAGAAACAAGGTGTGTGTGTGTGTGTGTGTGTGTGTGTGTGTGTGTGAGAGAGAGAGAGAGAGAGAGAGAGAGAGAGAGAGAGAGAGGGAGGTGAGGGGTGGAGGTGGAGGGGGCTGCAGGAGCCCCGAGTCCTGCCAGTGTCTGGGTCTGTCCCTCCTCTGCACCCACCATGCCTGAAGTGGTCACGGTGCATCCTGTGTTTCCCTCCACGACCCTATCCTCTTCCTGGGGAGATGCTAAATAAAAGCCACTGGACCCAGAGTCCCTGCCTTCCAGGAACAAGGCCCTAAGGCCCCCGTGCGTGAAGGTCAGGTCTGTGACGAGAGCCAGTGTTGAAGGGCGGGCGGGCGCTGTTAGGGTCTGACCTGAAGGATGATCTGTCCACAGCTCTTGTGTTTTGAACACATATCCCCCAGCTGGTGGTGCTGTTTTGGGGTGCTGTGCCCGGTTGAGGAGGCAGGCCTGGCTGGAGGCAGTAGGCCACTGAGGGCTGGCTTTTGAAGGTTGTAATCTGGTCCTAGGTTCTAGCCATCCCCATGAAAAACCGCCACCTTATGCTCTCACTCCCACAGACGAAGTTTCTTCGCCACACCTTCCCCTGACGGGCTACACTGAGATCCCTTGAAACCGTGAGCACGGATATGAGCGTTTCCCCTCAGGCTGTTTCTGTCAGGTTTGGTCATAGGAATTAAAAAAAAAAAAAAAAATTACAATACTTCTCCCCACGCCCTGCCCACCCTGGCCGGCAGACATGGGGTGTGACCCTGCATCCTTACGAAACTTCACAGCCCCTACTCCCAAAGGAAAACAAACGCTGAGACCAACTGAGCCACAGTCTCCTGAGGGCCTGCAGCCTGCCGGGCTGAGTGACTTTCCCAAAGTCAGCCACCACAGTCCTGCTTGTTGACGCTGCGTTCCGCTCCACGAACCGGACTAAGCAAAGGGGTAAAGTACATTCAGAAGCCACAGGTAAAGACACAGTCATCCGAACCGGACTAAGCAAAGGGGTAAAGTACATTCAGAAGCCACAGGTAAAGACACAGTCATCCCCGGTAGACAGTTTAGGTTTCTCTGGTCAGAAACTGAGGATGTGTGTGTGTGTGTGTGTGGGGGGGTGTCCCAACAAGTACTTAAGTGGCATTGTATTTCTGTGTCATAAATGCATAGTGGCAAAAATCTAAGAAGGTGTGTCTGACCTTCAGCCTGCCGACTGACTGTGCACCTCCTGGGGGTAGTTATGAATGTGGGCTAACACACTTGTAGATGGCCATGCCATGCTGCAATGTCAGAAGGGTGGGCCATCCCACTCTAAAGTATCAGCGGGAGGTAGCGGTCAGAGCAGAAGGAGTTCTGGGCCAGCCTCAGCTGCACAGCAAGTTGGGGGCCAGCCTTGGCTATACAAGATTCTCTTTTCAAACAATAACAACAAATCTAACACATGTACACAAAATCAACAGGGGGAAGACCTCGGCACGTAGTTACTAGCTAACAGACAGAGCTACTGGGACTCACAGTGACTATCTTTAATCCCAGCCTTTGGGAGGCCAGGGCAGGCGGAGCTCTGTGAGTTCTAGGTCAGCCTGGTCTACACAGCAAGTTCCAGGCCAGCCAGGGCTACACAGTGAGCCCTGTCTCAAAACAGATAAATAACAAAACGAAACCTTGTCCTGAAATAGGCAAGGAGCCCGTGTGAATCCACCCCCTATAAAGGACCCCCTGCATCTTCCCCAGACAGACACTCACCTCCTCAAGAAGCCTTGTGAATCCACCCCCTATAAAGGACCCCCCTGCATCTTCCCCAGACAGACACTCACCTCCTCAAGAAGCCTCGTGACAGCATCTATGTCATTGTATGTCTTAGTCATCTGGCCAACTCTCTCAGCACATAGAACTGCAAGAAACAGAAGGAATGGTAAGATGGCTGATGGCATCGGGAAGCTGCCAACAGGTGATCCACGGGCCAGGGCTCCTCAGCTGTGTCTGACACCACACACCCCACCCACACTGTCCTTGGCATCACCAGACCCTGCCTCCGGTGACACTGGATTATGGATTACTAGGCACTGACCACACGGTCCCAGCAACATCAACGGTAGCAGCTTTCAGGAGTCGGCTGTCCGTATGATTATTAAACAACAGTCTTAAGTGGGCAAATTCACAGGGACACACACACCTTCTTCCCAACTGACCTAAATTCTAAAGCTATGCCGTTTCTGTGTCAGCAGCAGGAGGGTACTAACTAGCCTTGGAAAACCCACTCCACAAACATGGCTGCTGCACAGGCATGCACACCAAGCACAATTTCATTACACACCCAGCCCGTGAACCACTTTAGGGCTGTGCCTTCTCGCCCCTTCTACTGGTGGAGGAAGGGTTTAGTCTACTAAGGCGTCTAGGGTTGCTTTGCTTCAGGACAATGGCAAGGGACTTAATGGTTCAATGCATACCAAGTCCCAGGACTTTCCTCTTGTGACTGTATTTGAATTTAGCGCCAATGAGAAATGTTTTTGGAACTGTCACTTTGGATTAAATAGAAGTACCCTAAGAGTAGAAGCTTTTCAGTTGGTAAAGTAGCAAACGCAAGGATCCAGGTTCCACCGCAAAACCCATGTTTTTTTTTAAAAAAGAAAGAATATAGGCATTGTGCTATCAGTTTGTAATCCCTGTGCTGAAGAGATCCACAACACTGGACATTGACCTCTGACCTCCACAAGCATCACCGCTACACACACACACACACACACACACACACACACACACACACACCCCTTCACAACGATGCTATGTAATTAATTCTATGTAACACAGACCCTGGAGAATAATTCTGTTACATTGACCTCTGACCTCCGCAAGCATCACTGCTACACACACATACACACATACACACATACACACACACACATGCACACACACCCCTTCACAGCGATGCTATGTAATTTTATGTAACACAGACCCTGGAGAATAATTCTGTTAAGAGTGAAAGCTTTTTTAATGACGCACTCCACCGATAGCTCGTGAGAGGCACCTGGGACCCTCAGACTCTCACCAAGTAGCACCTGGACCCTTGCTAGAGAGCTGCTGCAGGAATTCAATAGCCTCTAAATATTTTAGCAGTGCAAGCAGAGCTGATCCTAGAGATGAGCTCAGGGAAACCTGATCTGCTGGAATGATTTCCTAGCTCAGGTTTTCAATCTGAGACATCAGCACCAGAAGCAAGAGCCAGGTCCCCGGCATCACCTCTGCACAGCCAGCCCTTCCCCCCCCCCCCCAGGCCCCTCCACCTTCGGGGGAGCAGACACTGCCTGGCTCTAGAACCTTTCCCCTTGCCTTCACGTTGGCCAGCATGGGAATGGCAGGGACATGTGTAAGGGAAGGCTTACACCTACTCTAATTTGATGTCCATGGACGCCAACTCCAACCATCCTGGGCGGCTCAGCAGTTCAAGTCAACAAGTCGTCTCTGCTGAGCAGCCCCAACGCTTGCCTGCTTACATGAGGGGCACCAGGGACATCACACAGGACTCAGGACCGCTGACTGAGCCAGGGGCATCACACAGGACTCGGGACCGCTGACGGAGCCAGGGGCATCACACAGGACTCGGGACCGCTGACGGAGCCAGGGGCATCACACAGGACTCGGGACCACTGACTGAGCCCAACTACCCAAGTAAAGTACTCAACTTAAAACCACTGCTTGCCCTAAGCAAGGACTATATGAAATATTCCAATGTTTATGCTATACACACACACACACACACACACACACACACACTGATAGTACACAGAAAAGAAAAAGAAAACAGAGCAACCAAAAAAAAAAAAAAACAAAAACAAAAAAAAACCAACATTTGCATAGGATCATAGGTTTTAATTTTCTTATTTGTGCTTTAAAATGACTCTAAAAATATTATAGTAATGCTTCACGAATGAGGGAAATAAATATCTATAAGAAAATATACAGTTGACTAATGTAAGGACATGGGGCCTGACTTTTTGTTTTGTTTTATTTTTTGGCTTTTGTTTGTTTGTTTTTTAGAGACAGGGTTTCTCTGTAGCTTTGGAGTCTGTCCTAGAACTAGCTCTTGTAGACCAGGCTGGCCTCGAACTCACAGAGACCTGCCTGCCTCTGCCTCCCGAGTGCTGGGATAAAAGGCGTGCACCACAACCGCCCGGCCCTGAGCTGACTTTTCAGACAGTAACAGTAGCAGGCATGTTCTTAATTTAACGGATAACAAAAACCCACCCTTACCGGGTGCAGCCAGTGAGATGCTGGCCACATCTGAACATGGTGCACAGATCCAGGCTGCTCTGCAGCCCTTTACTGAGCGTGCTCACTGCGGTCAGGTACTGACCACATGTGGCTGTGTAGCTCATGTAATCCTCAGAGCAGTTCAGAGGTGGCTACTCAACTCACACTGTTTCACAAATCAGAACCCAGCCAGGCCCAGAGAATCTCTAGGTAACTGCCTGCGCGGCGCAGCACAGCTGGTAGCCGCGGAGTGCGGTGTGAGATGGACCCAGGAGGGCAACAGCTAAGCTCTGTGTCTGGAAAGTTGGACCCTTTCCCATCAGCCCTTCCCAGCAACCCTGAAGGTGACACCTGTACACGAACGGGACACCAAGGGCGCTGTGAAGGTCTGCCGTACAGCCCGGAGAAGGATCTACAACGCTCATGCTTTGGCTTTGCTCGGGTGAGTTCATTAAGTGTACACCTAGCCACAGTAAGCGTGTGAGCAGTAGATAGCATCCTCAGACCCAGCAGAAAAGAACCAGGGATGCTGAGGCAATCAGCGGAGTCCCTGGTTGACCTTTCTGTCCGCACATGAGCTTCCTACGGCTTTGCATTCCCACTGTGGGCATTTTCATAGCACACGACACATGACAGCAACATTTGCTAGAAACGGCTTGCCTTCTAACTGCCTGCAGTGACATAGCACATTCACTCTTGGGATACTGGGCTTTCCTCTTCCCTCTACCCATCACAGGGCAGGGGGACAACTCATGCCTAGACATGGAACCTTGGAGGACACTTGACACAAACACACTTAGGTCTGACGTGGGGTGGGGCAATCCGGCTTCCAGAGCCAGCTTCTCCATGAGCTCAAGCAACACACAGGAATTTGCACACATAATGTACGTCACAGGTCTAAGGGGATGAGGGTGCATTGTAGGAGCTGAACCTTGGCCAGTCTGGCTTCTAACTCAAACAGGGACACCGTAAAGGACAGAGCAAGCCGGACGCCAGGACACGGCAGCAGTCAGTGCTCAGAACCTGCGGAGCACTGACTGCGGAGCGGAGAGCACCCTGACCTTGGAGGAGGTGTTCACAGAAGGTGGGGGGCAGGGAACCCCAGGCTCCAGGCAGGCTCCTCAATGGTCTTTGGTTTTCTCTTCCAGAAACTGAGAGGGCGGAGCAAAACTAAGGAGGCCTAGAAAAGACCCAGTCTACCTTTCAACCAGAAGGTGACTGAACAATGGCTCTGCTTTTTAAGTTTCACTTCCTACACATGACATACCATAAACTCTGGTCAAGTTCTGTCTCCACAGGGCCGTGGGCTATGCTATCAAATAAACGTATTTCCACCCCAAACTGTGTCCAAAGAGAAAGTAGAGAGGCAGCTACAAATCTCTACAATAATGAATACATGTATTTCGATGTATTGCACATGGAAATAAAAATTCAATTTCCATTGAATACCATGGAAAACTATGGTCCCAATACTAACACACGTTAACGGTATCCTGCGCCAGACAGCCAGGTAGATATACAGCACACATCCTCAGCCTTCTGTGCTATTACAAGTTCTAGGTGATGCTGTCAACCTGCACTCGCCTCACGAGCTCTTGGGGTGCACAGGAGAGACATTGGAGATAAACAGTTTGAAGGGTACAGGGGTATAAGCCCCTTCCAAGAGCTGGGAATGTTAGCCGGGCACACACAGACACATGCATCTGTGATCCCAGCATGCAAGTTAGCCAGATCTCTACACAGTGAGACCCTATCCTCCACCTGTCCCCAAAAGCTAAGGGTCCTGGACTTATGGGCTAACAGGAAACCACTAGAGAGTTTCCATAGGAAAGCATCAGTGTGTGCTCGTATCTCAGAAAACATTCTGGCCCAGTGTGGAATGATTGGGTGTGAGGCCCAGAGCAAGCCAGTGACCTGTGTTAAACCTGCTGGATTCTTCCAGAGGGCTCCTTCCTGGGTGACAGTAAAGGAACTCCTTCACAGGCAGATTGTGAGATAAGACTGAGTAGGAGGTAGAGCAGAGTGTAGGCTCTTCCTTCTGGCTGGGACACAGCCAGCAAGAGCAATCCATCCCCCCTGGATCAGTAGCAGGATAGGCTGCCAACGAAACCGATGGTCTCAGGACGATCACGGCACTGTGGAGTGAGGTTCTTAGCATAGTACTGACCACTCCCAGAGCAGGAGGAGACCCAGTGACAGAGGAGCTCTCCAAGGAGCTGGCTGGGCTGTACTACATTTGGCAGATTCCACTCTTGAAGCCTGGAAGAGACCAAGGCTGACCAGCCCTGAGCTGGCTGACCAGAGCAAGGGCCATCTAGGACTAGGTTGGGGTTCTAAAGGCTTGTTGGATCAAAAAAAAAAAAAAAAAAATCAATGTGTAATATTTATGCAAATTAAGCCATACAACCAAATGGATTTGAGAATATTCTGGCAGACTCCAAACACACACACACACACACACACACACACACACACACACACACACACACGCACACACACACACACACACGCACACCCGCCAAACCCCAAGCATCTGCGTGGATAGGACATAGTGGCAAGATCTGATCTCAGCAAACTCGGGGGTGACCCTGGCTGAGGCCCAGACACGAACCCTACTAGGGAAGGCTGTTGGGGTCACTGGGT